GACGTTTCGTATCAATGTTGATTCGCATCAGAAGAAGCAAGGATTTATCGTAACAATTTCAATAGTTCGAATGCAGTAGTTTGTTCACATCTGATTCTTACGTATACTGTACGACTCGCTATAATAAATGCGGTAGAATTGGAACGAAATAGCTGGTTTTTTCTTTTACCTTTATTGAGGAATGTTGTGTTGTGATTGAAAAGAACATCGACAAAAAGCTTGCAAATAGAATTAGTTACCAAATATGATACAAAGGATGCTTAAAAGAAAAGTTTGGTATGGGGGTCCAAATCTGCAAAGGGGGGTCCATAACCGCTAGCGGATTTGGACCGGGGGTGTCCAAATCCGCTAGCAGATATGGACCGGGGGGTCCAAATCCGCGGGGGGTCCAAATCCGCTGTGACACCGGCTTGCCAATGGAAATCTGGCTTTGTGCAATCAGCTTGTGACAAGGACAAAGCAGTGAATAAGTCCTGGACTTCGTTTCTTCCAACGGAGGTTCAGCCAAGAGTTTCATGACCTTGTCCGTACTTTTAAAAGTGCAAGGCTATGCTGCCCAGTCCAAGTCCAAAACCTCCACCCAAATGCCGCATCTTTGGCAGAGCTCCGAAAGTTCAGTTTCCTCAATAATGATGCAACTATTGATGGCCTTGTTAACGAGCTTCCACGTTACCTAGCGGCTGCTGACGGCACAGTTATTGAGGAAGAAGAGGAGAATGTACAGTGGTGGGCGAGGCATGCACGCACCCTTCCCAATCGGTCTGCTGTTGTCCGGAAGCTACTTCTAGTGCAGCCAAGTTCTGCTTCGGCTGAACGAGTGTTCAGCTTCATGAATCATTTTTTCACCCATCTACAGGAGAATGCACTTGAGGAAACTGTTGAGGCTTCCGTTATGCTGCGCTACAATAACAACCAGAGAAAGAAGATCCAGTGATTCATCATAGTGAACACAAATGCGAATATGACAGTCATCAAATTTGTAGATATTTTCAAATATTGTTGTTTGTTAACATCACTGAATGTTAAATAGCATGATTTTTCTTGAAGGTGAATAGCCGATATTTAAAACAGACTCCCATAAACTGATGTAGAATAAGTTACACAGGTGGAGAGACTAAGATATCATCTCTAGGTATAGAAATGTCCGCGAGTAGAAATTAATATATAAATAAATAAATAAATAAATAGATAATTCGTATAGATGTGCAAAGATTTACTTTCATCAGTAGTAGAAACTGATTTTTTTGAGTCGATAAAAAGCAACTTTTGAGCAACTTTTTCGTGAAATGATTTTGGGCAACTTTTGAAAATTTTTGGGGCAACTTTTGAGAGATATCCGAGCAACTTGTGTAAAAGCCTACCTAGAAGATTGCGCCTTCGGCGCTCGTTTTGCAGTAAATCGGTCAAAATTTTTCCTAGATCCGCGCCTGGTCGCTAAGGTGGCCGTTAAGCAATTTACAAGTTTCCACTAAGTCAGAAAAATATTAAAAATTCGATGCAAATATATGAAAATCATATAAGTGCACTGCGGTTGAAGAAACGAATATGGAATCGATCCTCGCAGCTATTAACACTACTAAACTAGTAGTTGAAATAAGGCCTGAAAAAAAAAATAGAGACCCAAACGGGATATAAACCCATGACCTCTGTGATACCGCTGCAGCGCTACCGGTTCAAATCCCGTAGGGGCCTGAATTTTTTTCAGACCTTTATTTCAACTACGTAGTTCAGTATTGTTCATAGCTGCGAGGATCGATTCTATATTCGTATATTTAAAATTCTTCAGACGAACATTTTGATAACCATAATTCCCCCAATTCACCTTGGTTAACACACCACTTCCCGCTTTATGCAATTCTAAATTAGTCAGGTAAGACTGACATTACCAACAAAAGCCTTCATGCTAGCCTCAGCTCTCCATTTTGACTAATCACTCAGAATAATATGCTAAACTTAAGGTGGATTTTTATGATAACTTTTATAACGAGTATTGAAATAAGATGATTTTCTTTCTTGACCATTTAAAGGATTTTTTCCATGTTTTTAAGCAAATGACATGGCCAATATAAGAGAAGTTATAGGGCAGGATGTTCTAGAAGAATAACACAGTCGGAAATACTACAGTCCCATGTCAGCACCTTGCCAAGGCATTTTAGAAACACTTTGCAAGTGAGAATGGTGTCGTGCATGCAAAACCACTGTACCAGAACTTTTCAATATCAATTTCTATAACTTTGCCATATTCAAAGGAAAAAATGACATAATATAGTATAATTTCTTATTTTACAATTGAAGGTTGTACATTTACTTTGATGTTTAAAGAACGTTCAAGGCAAGGAGAAACTCTGATCATTTGCATAATCATAATTTTTTAGACAAACTCAAAGTACAGCCTCTTTTTATTTTTCCCTCGGGACACTTACTGAAGTAGTGCTCTAGAACTACCCTTGTAACCACCCTTAAAGCAAATAGCTTAAGAAAGGTTGATTATAACCCACTTTTATCTCATCATTTATCTGAGCAAATAAAAAACACTTCCTAAAATCTAAATAGCAACCTTCTTTACCATTGACCTGAACTTTTACACTTAAAAATCAGTATTCAAGTTCAGTAAGTATGTCAGTTAATCCTCTAAAAACCATCAACTGAAAAGCTGACTGACAGAAACACTGCTTTAATATCTCCTCTTCAGGTCACGTCTGCAAGACATCTGCATGACCTTTGCATTTTTTGTTATCTTGTACATAGTTTCTTATCAAAGAAACATAGGAAAAGAATCTGTCAAATTTGAGGTCTCTAAATTGGTTGACTGTGTAGAAGTTCAAGCATTTAGTAATGTTGCTTATAGAGAGTTTCAAATCAGTATGATCCATCTACAAAACACTTACTTCACCAAGCGGTAGCTTAAAGGAAGTAGAAAATTAAAATCATGATTATTAAATGCAACAACATGTTTTACTCATTTCTTGCATTTATATATGCTTCTGATAAAAGCTGCAGCTCTTTCACTGTGTCAGGGATTGGTCATGTGTTAAACAGACTTTATTCTGATCATGGTGTAAGAAGTGTTTTATTGACAGTAACATTTTCAAGAGTTGAACTGAAACTTTGAAGATGGGTTTTTCTGGGTGCAGTTCCCAGAGTAGTGAAGCTCAATATGCTGGTAGCAATGCCCCTAATTCTGTGCGAAAGTAACTTTAAATAAAATTAAGTATATTCTAACATTTGCAACAGCAAGACACTGTTTCAAAAGCTACAGAAACACTAACCAGTCAAAATAATGAAAACGCAGCTTGTTGTAATCACAGGCCACCCAAACTAGTGCCCATGTTGCATGAAATGTTTTGATATATCAACAATTAGTCAATGTTTTATGAGCATTGTGTCAAGATGGCACATGACATTTGAGTGGTATTGGATTAACAACCACTGTTGACAAATTGAGGATTAGACTTGGTGAGAGGAGTAGAATATCACCAGTTTGAAATGGAAAATAAAGCCTTGTTTCAACTTCCTATTCATGAAATAACTAAAACAAACCTTATGCTGTATGCAGCACAAGTTTTGTCAGAGGGGGAGACAGGTAAGTAAAAGCCATACACTTCACCATACAGCTTTATCAGGAGGGGGAGTAGGTAATAGGATTTATAGGATGCAAGGGTAGGCTACATTTAATCATGCACCCAACTCCCTCCCCCCCACCGTACTCTATAACCAGTCCATAATTGGTCAGCAGCTGAAGAAAGTAGTACTGATCTATACCATTTTATATTTTTGCTGTCAGTGCTCTCTTAAGCTCTGACTTAGCTACGGCCTCCAAGTGAACTTCATCTGGGCCATCGGCTATCCGCAAACTCCGTGCTTGAGAATAGAAACCAGCAAGTGGAGTATCCTGACAAACGCCTTTTCCTCCATGTATCTGAATAGCTCTGTCGATAACATTACAAGCCATTCGAGGAACAACAATCTTTGCCATGGCAATCTATAAAAATATATATATATATTATATATTATATCATGTCCAGGATTTTAGTGTCTTATGTGTCCAAATGCTTTGAGATGCTGTAGTCACATTCACTTTTGCAAAGTGAGCTGCCGTAAGTTGTAAAGCAATCATTTTACTTGCCTTATTTCAAGAATTTAAATTTTTTAATCGATTAAATAGGATGCTCTTTGACACACTGTACCTGACTGAAATACACTGAGAAGGTTATTAAGTGTAATAATTATTGTTACTTTACATTTACTGTCAATTAAATGTTAAATCATTGTTAATGATATAGAGTCATCATAAAGATAATGAAAGTATAATGCTAGTTTCCATCTGGAGATTGCAAAGCCTTATTTGTGATGCAGAATTTCAGTCAACTTTCTCGTAAGCGGACACCTTTAAGAATTGGAATGAGTGTCTGTTAATAGAACTGCCTGCCTATGGAAGTTTTAAGAAGACACCAAAGAAAAATAGATGAATGTCCACTTACAGGAGAATATTTCTCCTGTATATATTAGAATATTTTGTCCACTTACAAGAGAATAGGTTTTCCATTTCACACTAACTTTATACCATCCTCAGTTGGAGTTTACAACGAATCCTGATATATAAATTATGAACTACATTTTCCAATAGATTTAAGAGATATGATGCCCTTTTTTATAACACATATTTAGACCACATAGATTAAATCATTTTGTAATTCACGTCATCAATGTTATTCAATTTGTATATTTATAAATTTTATTTTAAATTATTATTTGGTGTACATGCAATTCAGCCCTCCAGCTGCAAGTTGAACTTTTTTAATAAACATATCTACACAACATATCTACATATAACTTTAACATATATACCAAATGTACCAAGTGTGGAAAGTGATTCTTCCCTATGGTTTGCAGTTGTCTTTTATAGTCAGTTTATTTTATGCTCTGTTATATATGAGCAACAAACCCTCACAAATTGTGATCAATGAACTAGGTCATTTTATACCCATTTACAACACATATGATAAGCAATGCAAATACACTTGACAATTTTATGCCCATTCTAATGATTAATCATCTAAGTTCAATTCTCAGCCATCAGCTGCATTTGTGTTGGTTATTCTGAAATAGCTAAAGATTAATAAGTAAGGTAGTAAGTAGTTGCAATAAGATTAAGAGAGAGGGTCACTATGATTTGGGACGTTATCCTTTAGAGTAAAATATCAGTTGCATGTTGAAATTAAGCCACACCTGATTCTTAGCAGCCTTGTTTCCAAGCTTGTCAATGTTATAAGCAGCATTCAAGACTAGCAATCTCGCCTGCTCAATTTCGATCCTAGAAAGAGCAATCTGCTCTTGAACCATCCCCTGAGAAAAAGATAAATATAGTATAAGTTAATCTTATCATTAAAAATTCAGTTACTGGCTGATTTGGCCACAGAAAATGGTTAAAGGTGTCAAATTTTCAGACCTTTTCTGACAAACGTTTTCCAAATGCCACTCTTTCCAAAGACCGATGGACCATAAGGTCAAGAGATCGCTCTGCTAAACCAATCAAGCGCATACAGTGATGAATACGGCCTGGACCCAAACGACCTTGAGCTATTTCAAATCCCCTTCCTTCACCTAAACATATAAGAGAATAAAATTCCACTAGTATTTGTCACTCTCCCCTTAAACCACTGCAAACTTAGGACCTACTTAAATGAAATGCAGCCTGCTTAATTTAATGTTTCAGTGTAGATTACTGTATCAGAGATCTGGGGTAACTTGATTTAACTCTTGATGTCACTTTTCTGTTCACACCTTACTCTGTTTAAAAAGTTTTAACTAATGCTTTCATTGAGGACTTTCCCTTTAGCAGAAACAAAGTTATCTGAGAGTGCCACAGGAAATCTCTTAACATCTTGCAACCAATTTGTCAATTGGTGGACTTCTACTAAATGACATGAGAGATGAACCCATCCTAATCTAGCACCAATACCAGATTAATATTTGGGTTCTGTTACACATTTTGTAGCTACTATCTCCTACATAGTAGGAGGTAAAACCACACGTCACAGGGATGAGGGTCAGAGGGTAACAATAGAATGCCCAATTTCAACCAATTTTGGCCTGAGGTTTTCCTGGTGCTAGTCACTGTTTGTTTTGGAGTATCTTTCTGCTTCAACTTTGGTAAGTTCTGGCTTCTCGATCGTAACCCACCACATTATCAGTGATCTCATGAAAATATCTAAGAACTTACATGAATTATTTCCACTAATTTTCACCTTTAACACAAGCTTTTTACAGTTTATACCTAAAATATTGCTCAAGAGTTTCTTCGTGATCTCCACAAAATGAATTTGGTTCCTTCTCCGATGTGTACCTTTTGTGGAGATAACGAAGAAACTCTTGAGCATCTTCTAATCAGCTGTACCTACACTAAAAACTTTTGGCTTTCGGTTATTTCTTGGTTAAATACTTACAATATGAAAATTGATAAGCTTGATGAGGTAACAATCCTCTTTGGTATTTCCAATAATAACCCTGGGAATTGTTTGTTAAATCACATAATCATTCTTGGAAAATATACCATTTATTCATGTCGTTGTAAAAATATCAAGCCGTCTGTATCCTTACTGAAGGCTAAAACATCTGAAACTCGGAAATTTGAATTTTTGATTGCAAAAAAGAATAAAAAAGAATCTATTCATTATAAAAAATGGGAAAACATGTTATTGTAACTCAATAGATGAGTATCGGGTATTAACAGTTATAGACGCAGTTGTATATACAGTCGTTCTACCAAAAAAGGAATTTGATGTAGAAGTATTTGTACAAATTAGGCTTATATTATTATATAACCACAACATAAACTAAATCTAGCCGACTGTGAATGTAATGTAATGTAGTATTTCGTAATTAGTGTTAGTGAGTAGCGTAAGCGTTAGTGTAATTAACTTTGTATTTGTTTGTATTACTCTAGTATTTGTGCTTTAAGTGAAAATCTAAATAAATGTTAAAAAAACAAATAAATAAAAATAAATAAATAAATAAACGGAACTCTTTGGTTCAATATAAAAAGATTCCATAAATCTACCACAATAAAATGCTTTGATTACATAAAATCTGATGTGAAACACAAGCTGAGGGAACAGTCAAAGTTTATTGGCTGGTTGCTTCAATTCAATTATGTATTTTCCTGCTTTGACATTTTTTCTAGCAATAATTGGGTACATCTCACTTTACAGAGAGGTGAATGCCTTAAAATGGATTATTTTTTGCAAACTTTCAAGAATTTTACTATCTCAACTAATTATTTTGACGCAACAAAACAATGCTTTTTTCAGTGCTTGCTATGATGCTATAGAAGACCATCATTGTTTTGCAATGCCCTCTTTTCCCTTTTCCCCTATTTCTTGCTGAAAAATGGAATTAGTGTGACTGACGAAGTATGAAAATTTTGAAGAGTGTTGTCTCTGAGTTAAAAGGGAAAGCATTTCACCTTTACAACCAGTGAATTATGCTCAGTAAAAACTGAAGATATAATTTTTCAGGTCCTTCTGTGACACTACAGAGTACAATGAACATCTCACAATCATTTCACAATAGCCTCTTGCCAACAGGTGATTAAAAAGAAAAATTTTTCGTACAGAAAAATCTAATAGGTGTGATTGGTGCTTCATAGAAACTGAACAAAGATCTTGTCTCAGAGGAGAAAGTACTTCACTGTTTTAGTAACCTAAATTATGCTAAGTAGAATTTGTAAAGTGAACAAGGTGGGAAATACAACATCTTGAATTTAACATGTAGTCAAAGTTTTTCATATTAAGTTAACAGAGAAATGAGAAAGTGTGCTACTTGAAAAGGCCTGCTGTACTGTTCTAGCAAGTGATCAACAGCAATGATTAACCTACTGAGTGTTAAATGTTATATCTACTATATGTTTTCTAACTTTTTTGGGGGGGTGAGGACATGGTGGTGTGTAAGAATAGATCTTCTTCAACACTACCTGTTTAAATCATCATGTAACATCTATTTCTGTTCTTTGCTACATGTATAATAATTGTACCCTATCAGTAGCCACATGCAGTCCTTGATTGACTATTTTTCTTGTTTGCTAGAATTTGGTGGAGATAATGAAAATATAACATTAAAAAAAATTAACAGTAACCTGTGTATGTACATACCCAATATAATATTGGATACTGGTACATGAACATCTTTGAACTCAATCTCATAGTGGCCATGTGGAGCATCTGGAAAGCAAGGAAACACAACATAATACATGATTCTGATGGTGTGTCCATTTTTTGTGCCTAAGTCTTAAGTAAGATAATTATACTTTCCCAGACAAACATGTTAATTTTGGGGACCTTAAGGTAAGTTACTAAGTTTTCCATAGCCTGATTATTCATGTCACATGTAATTCTAAATTATAAAGTTTAACTTGAAATAACTGGAAAAGTATGTTCCTATTGACACAATTACAGTATTCCTACAGTTTTGCAATTAACCTAAAGTTTTAATTTCAACTCAACACTGAGTCACGCTGCTTGGTACTTAAAGCAAAGGCCCACTCTCTTTCATCCCTTTGTAATTGAATACCTGCAACAATTCCTTTTGCTGCACTTTGTTTTCTGGAAACAATGGCAGTAAATTACAAGGTCAACTTGACCATAATACATTCATACCTACAGTATTGTGCAAAAGTAATGCAAACAGAATTTGGCGAATTTCGTTATTTGTTTTAACGAACTTTTATTACAAGAATGGCCTCATTTACATGTTCCATGCAGCCTTTCCCATGAAACATTTAAGGATCTTTCAACCTCTTTTAGCCCGAGGTCAGCCACCCTCCATTACAAGCACACCACAAATGCCATTTTATGCTTAACCTATCATCACTAGTGTGTCAACTTCACCAACAACTTTGGCCGTACCAAGGCGTCCTGCATAGATGCCTCACTTGCCTTTCAAGATCTTGAAGACCTCTTCAGCAGCCTGGGTTTGGAATCATACCCCAGCCAAGGATTGCCATTCTCTCAAAAGAATGGCATTCCTTGGTCAAGTTAACGACACAGTGACAAATTTCCTTGTACATCTTAGCTCATTTGTCATTGGCCAAATTCACCAAGCACCAAAAAAAAAAAAAAAAACCAAAAAAAAATTAACCAAGCACCACAAAATTTTATTCATATTCATTTCTTTGCAAGCTTTCCCACATTTACCCTTGCATTAAGCAAAAAGAATCTCCATGCTCAGTCAACTTCCCAAAAAAATTAATCACTTTTCACCCAGCCTGGATCATCTCTCTGATCTACACTGGTGGAAATGTTTCCTTCCAGCATATCATTTGATAAGTTCATCTCCTTGGATCAACAGAAGTACTCTGTGTGGGCTTTACTGGTATTGGCTGCCTTTTCAAGAGCCATTTCTTTCACTCTACTTGTCTGCCATTTATTGATTTAGCCTCTCTCTCTATCCTTTTGCTCAAAATGTGGACCATCACAATGTAATACTGACCCTGAAATGTTTGGAGAAGCCCATGGAGCACATTCCTAATCACAAAGTTCCCCTCACACCATCCATCCATCCTGCTCCCTTTCAATGCCCATGTTAACCTTTGCAACTCCTTCCACCTATGCTTGTTGTCTGACTGACTGGCTGGCTTCTTCACACTTTTTTGCACAACACATTTGGTCCCTTGTTCATTACATGCCTTTTCTGCATGCACTGCACTTCCTAGAGGCAGTATCACATTCAAAAGTTATGGCACCCTTCTTACCATAATAAAAAGAAAAACTTGACTAGCCTTCCTGTCAAAAGCTTCCTGAATGCTCAATTTTCTCTCTGCTCCTTACTACAGATTGTTCCAGCACCTGACACCTATCCTCTCTTCTCCTTCAATTCCACCTCACAGCAGCTCACCTGCATCATCCTAACTTCTTTGGATCCCCAGGACTACTCAGGGCATGGTCTGCATCATGGCAGCACAATATTTGCCTTTTAGTGTGGCATCCCAGGTGAACTCCTTAAGCTTCAAGGAGACTGGAGATCCAATGCCTATATGTTGTATTTGCCTCTTCCTTTGGCAGCCACACTTGTGCCCTCAAACTTTGTCTTTGAGCACATCCAAGCTTTTTAACTAGGTCAAGTTCTCAGGCCTTTTTCTTATACTCCCTTTGTGCTTAGTTCCTGACCCATTTTCTAGCATCCCATCCTTCCCCCTTGCATCTTCCTTCCTTCTATAGTGAATCTTGTCGAGGCCTCTTTGACCTTACTTGGAGGTTTTTCATTTCCTCATTAAAGATTCCCAATCAGATTCACCATCTTGTTTGTTTGTTGTCGTGCAAGTGTGGTGTGGTGGGGATAATTGATCGTAATGCTAGAGGAATAAATCAGTAAGCCTACATGCTGCCCCTGGCTAACTGTTGAGTGACATTTAGTGAACATTTGATCACTTTGTTTTGTTCATTGCATCATTGCAGTTGTTTCTTAGCCATCACTCCTGCACCAGGGGCTTTCCTTGAGCCAAACAAATTCACTGTCTTCTTTGCTTGTTGTGTTGTGTAAGTGTAGTGTGGTAAGGGATAATTATGACATAATTCAAAATCTTACACAATTTTTTTTAACAGAATAATAGAAGAACTTTTCCTTTGTGAGGACTGTAAAACACTAAATAAAGGTATGTATGTCTGTTAAAAATTTTCTATAATAAATAGGTACAATCCAATAAGGGTGGTTATTAGAATGGGGGTGCTTACTCTATAGGGGCACTTTTAAACAAAAACGAATTTGAGGGGGCACTTTTTTGAGAGGGGTGCTTATTGGAAGGAGGGCACTAAATCCAATCATTACAGTAACTGCTGTAATTTTCCTGTAACTTTGGCCATAAAAGTAAAAGTAAAGTAAAAAAATTACCATTGTAACCAAAGACTGTAAGAGACCTGACTTTGGTTACACCTGGAGTATCTAATGGAACCAACACCATGGTGTGACGCTTATGTCTGGGGAAAGAAAGAAACAGTTCAATTAAGTAAATCTACTGCCTATGTGATATAATCAAAGAAATTTGCTTATTAACAAAAATTAAAACAAAGTCTTACTAAATGACTATTTAGAACAAAACATCTTATTCCTGCTGAGGCACAACTGAACAGAAATGAATTTCAGATTTTGATATAATAATAAGCAATAAGAACAAAGCTATACAAACTGAGATATTTTGAGTAGATGAGTCTGCAAGGGCTTTGAGAGAATGACAATGATCATCAACAGTTAAAAATAAATCTAAATAAACAGTAGCTGTTTAAGTATCCAAAAGTTTGTTGAAACTCTCCAAAAAGAGTGTCAAAGACAATACAGTATTGCTAATGGAGACAAAAATGAAACTATCCAAAAAAACACATGAAAATATGTAAGTCAATACTAACATCAAACATATGAATTTAATGCCTATTTAAAAGTCTTCAATGAGTATTGAAAAAAGGTTCAATCAACCTCAATTCAAGCTTGAATTTAAAAGAGGACACAGTCTGTATGTTTTAAGGTAATGACAAAGATTATTCCAATCCTCTCACTGAATCTCTGTCCCCTAGCCATACAAGGGGATGTTCAAAGGTTTGAAATAATGGATAGTGAGATTAGATATGTTTATATGTGCTTTAAGTTCATTGGAAAGGCAATTATGATTGAATGTTGTATATTATGCAAATTCCATTGCAGCTCGTACAATTATACTCAATGGTGATGTTGCTGTAAATCTAGGGCAAATGGAAAGTATGGAAAGCCAAAGTGTACTGCAAAATATACATGAGCAAGCAAGAGTGAAATCAGACTGGCTGATTAGTTTAAATTGCCGGAGCCTGCTCCCAAATATTGAAGAAATGAGACTCATCTTTACTTATAATCACCCCTCTATTATTGCTGTCACAGAGACATGGCTAAACAACACCATCTCCGATGACAAAATTCACATTCAAGGATATAGAGTAATTCAGAAGGATCAGTTGGTGCATGGCAGTGGTGGCAAACATAGTCTTGAACTAGAGGATCATGACTTTGAAGCAATTTGGATTGAGGGGAAGATAAATAAAACCAAGTATGTCATTGGGTGCGTCTACAGAGCCCCAGATGCTCCTGTGGATGATTTCTTTAATTATCTCAATGATGTTGTCAGAGTAGAAACTTGGTCTGGGAAAGAGGTGATAATTACTGGTTATCTAAATTGCAATTGTTTAAATAACACCTTGCAACAAATGGGGAGAATGGAAGAGTTTCTGATGGCAAATGTACTGACACAATTGATAACAGAGCCCACCAGAGTGACAAGTTCGACCTGTTCCCTAATTGAAGTACTTATAACATCAACCCCTGATTAATTTAAATTAGCTGGTGTTCTTTCTACCTCATTTAGTGACCATTTACCTATTTTTGGAGTCCTAAACGTGCCAACTGTTAGACCTACAGAACATTGATATCTTTCAACACATTCCATTAAGCCCCAAAATGCTGTGAAGTTTAATGCTAACTGTGACAATTATTGACCTACTTCAGTATTGCCCTGGGTTTCTAAGATCATGGAGTCTTTTGTGAACATAGACTTACAGAATTTTGCTAATGAGGTTGGTCTCATAGAACAGCATCAATTTGCATGTTCAAAGTTTTCTCCAACAACAGTGGCTTGACTCAAAGTAGTGGATTTATGGAAATTTGCCATTGACAGTGGTCTTGAGTCAGTTTGCATTTTCCTAGACTTAACAAAGGCATTTGATGTCATTAAGCACGGCATCCTGCTTGCCAAACTTGAATCTTATGGAATAAAAGAGAACACACTCCAGTGGTTTAAGAGCTACCTCTCAGGAAGATCACAATGTGTTGTATGTAAAGACTCTGCTTCAGAACTTCAGAATCTTCAGAGTGCCGTAAGGGTTGATCTTGGGACCAACATTGTTCAATATCCATATGAACAACATATCTAAAGCATATCAAGATTCAGAAATTGCACTTTATAGAAACAACACAGAGATTCATTCCAGTTCCAAAGATGTTTCTGTGGTTGTGTACAAGATTAATGATGATCTCAAAAGGATAAATAAATGATTCTGCGACAACGGTCTCATTTGCAACACAAAAAAAGACGGAAACAATGGTGATTGCTTCACAGAAGGCCGTCAAAACCACCAGACACCTAAATATATTCTACGGTGATTCAACTCTAAACCAGAAGAGATCTTTTAAGCACCTTGGTGTGATAGCAGATGAATCATTATCTTGGAACAGTCACATATCTTACATAGCATCCAGAGTCTACCCTACAGTTAAATTGTTAAACAGATTTTTGTCTTTTTTGGGCCCAGCTGTCCTTTTTGAAGATATATAAAGTGACAATTTTACCTATTTAAGATTACGGTTCTACCATATAGGGATCCTGCACTAAGAAGAAATCTGATTTTTTAGAATGGTTACAGAATAAAGCTTTGAGAATAATCTTAAGGACAAACATTCTGACTTGCACGCAAAGGATAAGAGACAAATAATTAGGACTTCTTACATTATCCAGCAGGTGACAATATATGCGTCTTCAGCCAGTGTTTAAAATTGTTAATAACCATGATTGTCCCATGCAACTTCAGAGTTACATGAATTTCAGATCAGAACTTTGTGGAGGTACCCAAGAAATTCACTTGCCTAAAGTAAAATCTGCTATAGGCCAGTCTACATTTAAATTTCCAGCAGGAAATAAATGGAGCACTTTAACTAAAGATCGAATTGTGGGCTAGACTTACATTTATGAACTTTTATGTAAAAAACATTTCACTATTTGTTAGAGCAAGACAGAATACAGCAAAAATGTAGCATATAGTTTTTCTCAACTTTTTCTTTTATATATATATATATATATATATATATATATATATATATATATATATATATTTATATATACATAGCTGTTAACAGCTGTGACCAAATCTTGCCTTTTGGTTTTTAATATCTTTTCATTGCTAACACTAATTTGAAATATCAACCACACATAGGTTTATACCAGCTAATCTATTTTTGCCAAATAAATAGTTAATATTATCATTATTATTACTATTATATGTGCATCAAAGTTTTGAACCAATTACAGTTTGGCCACATTTTTCCTGAAGTGTTGGAGAACATGGGTAAGGCCAAGTCAAGGCTTAGACCCTCAGGGTAACTGAAAGTTCCTTCTCCTCACAAGGTTGCTCCCCTCAGCCTTTGTAAGTTCCTCCCTTAAAGAAAACAGGTCTGCCCCAACCTTTAACAGTTCACCCCCCAAATATCAAATGTTGTTTCCTTATGGCACAAAATATTGCTTCTCAGTCAAAATAATACATTTTTCAGTCAAAATGCTTCTTTTTTTTTCCAAATCAAACACTTGACTAAAAAAGCATGCTAAGTCAGTGAAACACTGGACTCCACAAAGCACAAATACCAGTATCAAACTACGGCATACATACGGTGGTCATTCATCGTCTGAGAATATTTGCCAGACACTGAAGGAGCCTGAGTGTTTAGTTTGCTCTTGAAGTAGATCGTGATTTTTGTTGGGAACATAAGCAGGAAATAGTTAGCAAAAAAACCACAGTAATGTAGTGGATTTGAATAACTTGTGTAGGAGTTTTCCGCCATTTAGTAGCATGCCAAAAAGTTTACATCTTGATTGAACTGTGCTATGATTTCACCGTAAATTGCATGTTGATCCAAAAGCAGTATGACTTTGTAAGAAAATTAGTACATTCGGCTGTTTGGATATGAGTTGAAAGGTTTGAGGGTAAACTAGTAAAGGCAGGGGAAAATGTTTTTTTTTCTACAGGGAGTGACTAGCAAAGGGTGTAGGGGAGCAAACTTTGAATTGAGCAAAAGCTCCATAAAACAGACCAACATTGCTCTGACATCTTTACCTACCCAGATGGTGGGGTAAGTTCTGTTCAGCAGAATCCCTGTCTCTGGAGTGAAATTCTTGATGATATTAAATAATATTATTATAATTATTTTAACCTGTATATCAATTTCTGGCTGCTATTTTTTCCCTTCTTTGACAAAAGAAGTGTATCAGCCACGATTTTACCTCTAAATATCTCTGAGCTATATTTCCTTGATTATTTGATATTATCTTTTAGAATAATAACCCTGCAGCACTTAATTAATTGGAGCTGAAGACTCACCAAGATATTTTACCATGCTATCAGATCATTTCACATATGCATCAATTATACATAACCTGAGTAGTTTACTCACAACAGTATTGTGCAAAAGTAATTCAGCAGGAATTGTGGTTCACCCACAACATTTGAGCCATATTTTAGTTGAAAAAATATATCAGCATATATCATAGGGCTATTGTTCTAACAGCTGTGATAAATTGCTGACATATCATTGAGCTCCTCATGAACTATCATTTACAGTAAGCGATATATTGTTTAAGCTGTACAATATATCATGTAGAGTGTAAACTATGTCAATTGAACTTGGTAAGTCAACACACTTTTACTCTTGTATCCTGTACTCAACCTTAAACTCACAATGACAAACAGGAATTTTCATTAATTTGAATGTTTACCAGTGAAAGTAGTGAGAGATCCCATGCTTTTTAGAAACAAAAAGTTCAGTTTACTTAATAGATAAAATGTGTCATTATTCAGAAAATGCAGTTTGTGTTATGTGTGTTAGAGAACTTTTATGCATTCAGTATTGTATCAACTTTCTTGCAGTATTGTGATTTAAACAGGTATGCAGTGAAGTTAATTGTTAGTAGCAGGCTGGGTATACTGATGTAGCAAACTTGATGTTCAAGGTAGCCAACAAGGTGCCAGCTCCATAGGAGCAAACTCCAAATTTAGGAAAACCAGCAGTTACCATAATGCAAGGAGAGAAAGGCAGATCTCATAAAAACAGTACTTTGAAAAGAAATTAAAATTTCTGCTGAATCTGAGCAGAATCTCATAGAAATGTTAGGAAGCCTTTTTTTCAAGGTCTTTTCCTATCAGTGCCACAGCATAGAAGAAACAAACCAATGTGTGATACATGTTAAGTAAGCATAGGAAAACGACACCAGCTTCTGAGGGAAATAAAAAGGAAAAACATGTAAATTAGACTGCTCAGCTGTTCTAATCTTTTGTTCTTTATGTACTTGTCATTTAACCATAGGGTGCTGTGATTGATGCTTCACCAAAATCATTTGGTTACAACCTATCGTTGTTGATTGATATGTTCACACTAAATATTTCCCTTGAATAAAAGGGGTTAGTTTCTAAAGAAACTGAGCTGTTGTGTCGGTGGGAGAGTATAACAGGGTAATTTAGTGTTATCACCTGAGTTGAAATTGTAAATGGGCCACTGTAAAGAGTTTTAAGTCTGATGTTTCAAGCATTAGCCCTTCGTCAGAACAATTGGAGGAATTGTGGGTTGAGTGTGGGTTTATATGCAGAAAATGGAGCTATGCTATTGGTGGGAATATGGTGATGAGAGAACAAGAATAAATTACTAGAATGAAAAGCATTCGTTGATACCATGGGGATTAAGAGTGCCTATTTAGAAGATAGTTATTTGTTCTAGAGTTTCGCAGCTTTCCGAACTACTTAGGTTTAGGGAAAGGCCACAAACTGTCATATGCTGTTTAGAATGATTAGAGATATTTGAGTGTCTAGCGACTGGTTTGGATGCATCCTTGACATTTCTATCTATGTTGTGAAGGTGTTCTCAGAAGCGGTCACCTGGTCACATGCCTGTTTTACCAATGTATGACTTTTTGCAATACATACAAGTTATGCAGTAAATGACATTTGCCTTTAAACTCTTCACAGTGGCCAATTTACAATTTCACCTCAGTTGATAACACTAAATTACCCTGTAAATATTTCCCTTGTTTCCAAACAAGTTATTGAAGTGATTTTAGTATGATTATCTATTGACTGCAATCACTTAATGCTACTTTTGCCAAGGCAATGAGAGCACAGAAGGAAATTGTTTATAGCACATTATGCTAAGTGGGGGAAAAATTTCACTTGCACAATACATATACAATATATGTATTGTTATGATGATTTATAATTGGAATGAGATATCTTAGGAAAGCTCTAATATGTTGTTGATTTATTGTTCTGAAGTGACAATAGAATGCATGATAAATTGCTGATATAATGCCAATATATCACAAGAACAAAGCATGATATTTGACGACTATCATTTGCATTACTTTTGCATAGTGCTGTACATGTACATGTATATTGGAACGAGATATTGCAGGAAAACTCTGATATCTCCTCAATTTATTGCTCTGGAGTGTCAATAAAGTGCAATATTTGACAATAATCATTTGTATTACTTTTGCATAGTGTGGTACATGTACGTGTATACTAGAACAAAACATCACAGGAAAGCTCTTATATATTGTTGATATATTGTTTGGAAGTGCCAATAGAGTGCAATATTTGACAATAGTCATTTGTATTACTTTTGCATAGTTTGGTGCATGTACAATGAAGAAGATATCAAAGGAATTAAAGCTAAAATATTTTGTCAATATATTGTTTGCATCACTTTTTGACAGTACTGAACAAGTATACTAGTATACTACACTTATACCAATAGCTCTGTGAGTATAGTTTATTATGCAGTTAGGCAATGCAAACACTGTTAGGCCTTGTAAGTAATGTAAGTCATGTTTTGTGGTGATTGATTCTTTTAAGTTTCTTCTAGATTGTTAATTACATGAGCATGATTTTTCAAAACCATTGTTAGTACTGTAACCAAAAATGTCTGTATTGGAGTTTTGATATCGTAGAGTACAAATGGTTTAATTCTACAATTTAAGTAATGTGCAGTTAAAAAAAGTTTGTTTTCTCTGAGTTTGGTTTTCAGTTGTCTACTTCCTAGTTCTATTCACTTTCTTTTCTCCAGATATAAAAGGGGAAAGTCATTAAAACACCAGTTACTCATTTGAAGAACATAATTTAGGTCATGCATTGCATTAACAATGGCTCCAACTTGAATGAAATCTGAAGTTTGGTACCATCCACACAAAATTGAGCTGAAAAATGTCTAGGAACACATGGTAGGTCCCACAGATGTTAAAGCTGAAGAGAAGGGTCCCAGGATGAATCAACGTGAGAGGATGATAGCAGGGCACTTGACAGATTTGACCAATACCCATGACCTGGCTCCTATTGCACAGGCACAGTAGCCCGTAAACAATAAATTTTTACAATAAAAAGTTAAATAACCCTTATACCTTCCAACTTTACAATAATAATTTAAAATCCTTATAGTCATTTTACAAACTTTAATAAAAACACAACTGAGGAGCTTACTTTGATAGACCAGGAGCTTTACTAGTTCCCATCACAATGGCTATCTTGCAACGTGGGTCCCCTGCCCCTAAAAACAAAACCATTCATACATCAATGCAAATCTAGTGGAGTGACTTAAAAGAATGAAATCATGCTCTTTACCACTACTCCACCACTTTGTTCCATTGATAACAATTTCACTTCCAAGTCTGGTAATCGTGCACTCCATATTTGTTGCATCAGACGAAGCCACACTTGGTTCTGAAATATTATAAAAGTAAGAGTAGCCACTAAGTCAAGTGACTTAAACATTTGCATACATGCATGCATACATACATACATACACCAAAACAAAACTACTGGTTTATTGTGTGAGTACACTTAAGGATTAAAGAGAAACAATTACAGGCTAGTTTTCAATAGAATAAATAACTATATATATAACAATACAAATGTTTACCAATAAAATTTTGTATTTTCTGGCACTGCTTTTAAAAGCCTTCAAGGATTGCACTGTTCCTATTTTGTCTGGTGTTGCATTCCATAATTTTGGCCTAATGTACATCCAGGATTTTCAGCTAGAAGTCATTGTATTAGTCTTTGACTGCTATAAGATATCAGCTCCTCTCAGGTTGCATTGTTTCTTGGGTTGTACAATTGTTTCTGTGTCAAGCAGTTTTCTAATGCTTTTTGGTGTTCATAATCACTGGCATGATAGATATTACAGATTATTTTTCCAAAACATTGACTTTCAAGTTATGCAGGGTTACTCTGTTGAGCAGTTGACAATAAAAGATAAAGTCTCTACTCAAGCAAAGAGGTCCTCTCCAGCCAGAGCTCATCCAAGTTTCCATAGCATTAAGCAACTTGGAGCATCACCAGCACCACCTGGATGGGATGCTAGTCCATTGCAAGGTTATTGCCAGCATTTCTTTAGGCTTCCCTAACAATTTGCCAGTACCCATTTACACTCCTGGATGGACAGAGGCACTGAGAGAGTAAAGTGCTTTGCCTAAGAACACAACACATTGATGTGCCGAACCCTGACCACTCAACCCAGAGTCAGTGCACTAAACATTGGACCAATGCATCTCCCACCACCTCTCCCACTGTAGTTGACTACAAGGTATCTGTTTGATTATTGAAGTGCTCTCTTCATGCAGTTTCCCTCACACCATTTATCAACATTAGAAAGATCTGCATTTAAATATCCTGTTCAACTTTTTCTGACGTGCTATATTGGTATAAAATATGAGTTTGCCAAACAGAGGGATTAATTAAAGAGCTTTCTCAGAATCTTTCCTACACTAGTCAAAAAACTTATTTTTCCTTAGAGCCATCCCACATGACAGACATTTGCACCCTACTAATTTACATTTAGTTTTACCAATAGATACCTTAGCTAAAGCTACTTATAAATTTTAATGCACTACAGTAAGGAAATGTAAAATGAAGTATAACCATTGTCATGGTTGAAGTTAGACATAATAGGCCATTGTACAGTTGTGTACTTAGTTGCCAAGCCTTTGATTTGGAGTGAGGATGAAAGTGACCTTGTTGTGATAGAGACCAGTATCTAGTTAGCATGATAACAAAGTAATTTGCATTTGAAAAGCAGCAAGGTTTGTATCATAACAAGGTCACCCTTAGCCTCATTCCTCTTCAAAGGCTTGGCAACCAAGCACACAACTGTAAAAAGGGACTATTAGTTTAAATAATGAAATGAAACTAAGTTTTCAATAACTCAATACTTTCCCTTTATGCGGAGGACAGAGTTATAGGAATGAAACATATTACCTGTCATACAAAATGCTGACCTCACAGTCCCTTTCAGAAGAGGTTCAAGCCAGGCCTTCTTTTGCTCAGTTGTACCATATAAATGAAGGACCTCCATGTTGCCAGTGTCTGTACAGAAACAGAAAAAAGAGAAGCTATTTAACTGAGAGAAGAGTGTAAACATATTCAAAGCCTCTTTATGTAATCTTAACTTATGTTTACAGAGAGTATGCCTGAAAAAATTTCAGACTTTTTTGGTAATACTGTGCAAAAACCTAAGCTACAGACTGTCTAATGAATGAATGTCCACGATAACATCGGAACATAACTAACACAGGTATTGAAAACATGACCAAAGGCTTTTAATTGTAAGTATCCTAGCAGTTCTTGCAGTGAACACAAGAAATATGAGGAACCTTTTGTCCATTAGGATTTCATATGTATAATATGTAATACATAAACCCTTAAAACCATTTCAAAAACCTTGAAATTTGAAAATGTATGTCAAGTAAATAAACCTTTTCTTTTAATTGTCACCAAAAAGGTTATTCTAACAGCCACTATTGTACTTTCCTTTTGACAAACTTATTGTCCCTATAATTTATTCTGTCTTCACCTTTTCCATGGGAAAAGAAAAGGTGTATATATTCCACATTTATTTTGAAATAGCAATGTTTTTGAAAAAGAATGTATAACAAAAATTACAAATGAAGTGTACCCATTCACAGAGAAGCCTTACCCTTAATTTTGAATGCTGCATGGCTATCACAAGTTAAACTGAGATATACATTTGTATAAACATCATTGAAACTCCATCATTTTCCCCTGTAAAAATTTGTCTTTCACTGCTTGGTTGTTGGAGTATTAAACCATTCTATATACCACAAATCTTCCCAAATGATTGACAACAACAACTTTTTCAGTTACCTAGTAAATTATTATTTCAAGCAACCATTCTATGATTTTAGGTTGCCAAATTGCTATTTAACAAAAGTGAGCTTAGAGTCCTGAATAGTATTGTTTTTGTTATAGATCTCCTATGTATATGCAGACAACTGCTTTCTTTACAAAACTACCACAAGTTTTCAATGTTTTCAATTGAAGATATGTTTCATGGTTACTCAATCTCATCATCAAAGTGATTTATAAAATGGCTTGAAATAACATGGATTGAAAGGATGTTTTAGTTTCGAAACACATAACTTGTGTACTTTTCTGTTATGTTTGTTCTGGTCTATTATTTCTTCGTTGGTTAACGATTATTACCTAATAAGTTTTTTATTTCAATCAGTTTCATTTAAGCACATGTACCAGATATCATATTTCATATTTCATTGCTATAAGTTGCTGTTGACACCACCAATTTTGTCTGCTATTCATGTACAATCCACTATCAGTGATTTATCTACAATCATTAGGAGCTAGACCAAAGTAAGTTTTTTAATTTATCTTTTAGGATATTTCCTTTTTTTTTTTATACGTACATCGATTTATTTCTTGCTTTCAGTTCACTTTATAACCGCTTCATTGTTAATTAGGCTAGTGTTACATTTCTCAGGGATATTTTCTTAATTAAGTTTCTGCTGCATTTTCTTTTAGTTCAAACCACACAAATTCAGCTACAACATTACCATCAATCATAACTAAGCTATCTTCAATCTTATTTTTCCCTCTACATCTGTGATTTCAAACCTATCTCCTTATTTTTGTATGTAATTTTGATTACGTACTTCATTTGATTAAACCCCGATTTATATTGTGTGTTCAGATTGTCTTCCCCGCTACACTAGTAACCTTTGAAGGTTACAGGATGGAGGGCCAAATAAATGAACTCTGGTTGATGGAGGCATGTAATTCAATTAACCTGTACCCTTTTAAACACAAACTCTGTCTTTGCACATTTTATAGATATAGATAGATCTGAATAGACTTTTGTAGATCCATATAGATCTATATAAAGCATCTTCTATTAGTAAGTAACCCATGAAGGTACCTGGTGCACTACAGTTGAAGACTTCTGCAGCAAAAGGACATCTTCCTGTAACCTCAGCTAGCATGGCATACTCAAGTTGACTTAAACCTGACACACTTGATAGAAAGAGGTTCCACAAACCTTCCCCTTGAGCTTTTTCCTGGGTGAAAAAAATAGATGATTTTGTTTACAAACCTGGAGAATTTCTTCCAATAAATAGAATCTTTTGCTTTAAAATGCACTAAAATCCCCAAATTTTTCCTTTGATAGAGTTACCCAGATGCCATGGCAACTCTGTTTCTTTCAGTAGTAAGACTAGAGCTAAGCAATTAAAAGTAACTCAAAACTACTATCACAGATTTTAAAAAGGTGGAAAATGTTTATGACAGAAAATATCAGCAGGTGTATGATTAAAGAAATTCAAGTGACACAGTACCTTCAAATCTTCCATAAATGGAGGGACACTCCACTGGGTCGCTGGATTACTCACATGCCGATAGTAAGACTAACAAAAACATACAGTATAAGTAAAACTAGTTCCTTGTCTGACAAATGGAGGATGGGTTTCTGAACCTTAAAAGGAGCATACGAATGGCAAGTTAATCTTGTTAGCAAAGTAAGATGTGTTGTCAGCTTTTCTATCACTGTTGCAACCTGCTCTTGTTAATGGATTTAGTTCATAAGTTACAGACCCTCCCAGCTTGTCTTATTCTGTTTAAGCAAAACTTTATTGTACTGATCATGACCATCATTTTGCTTGAAAGGCACCCGCAGTTAGATTGAAAATCAGTCTGCAGTACATAATGTCAACTCTCTATCTTTGCTTTGAAGGTGGGGTTACATGAAAAGGTCATGTTCTCTTGCATCCTGAGAGGATCAATATGCCATTAAACCAAACTAATATTAGATCAATTGCTCTAGTGATTATAGATGCACATGCTGTTAATGATTGAGGATTGCATGATATCTTGCCATAATCACCTCGCATACGGTGATTACAGCAGGTGCCCTGTATTGCTTAGGGTGTAGGGTTAGGGTTAGGGTAGGAACTGATGACTGTGATAAAGAAAGTTCAGTTCTGAAGAGCACAAAAGATGCCACTAGGTTTAGAGTAACAGTTCCCTGAAGAACGATGTAAAGTTTTTGCTGATTGAATAACATGAACCTGTTAAATTCCAGTGAAAACTGGCTCTTTAACTTGGTACAAGTAATCAAAACAACAGAATGGTTTCAACATTACAACAAAATTTGAAAGCACTTAGGTAGGTAATTATACTACAACAATCATTCACCTCAGGCTCAGTGAATATTGTTGAATCATCCCCCTTGACTTAATCTTAGCAAGGGGATTATTCAACAATTATGATGGTGCTTGATTGTTAAATAGTCTGAGGTTTTTCAAATAACTTTTGAAGCATCACTATATGTTATCATTGTTGGGTTTTGAATCATCTATTCCAATTTTGGCACATTTCTAATGTTTCTTAATGTAACCTTTAATTGTAATTATGACTTTTCTTAAGACAAACCTCACAAAAACAGTCTAACCCCAAAATAGTATAAATTGTTTCAAATAAGTTACTGGTTATTAGTTACTACCTATTACTGGTGCTAGACAATAGTAGTCAACCCAGTTCCTTTCTTTTAAAAACAGATGACAAAAGTCATGTCATGATACATGTTAAAGGTGTGATTTGTACGAATGGTTTATCCACTTACTTCTTCGGCTGGGTACACATACTTTTCCATAAAAGCAATCATTTTTTGATAGAGTCTTTGAGCCTTCAGGGATGGCTGGAAGATGGAGGACACATTCTCCATAGGCATGTTCAATTTACTTACATGGCTTGATCTCAAATAAGAAAGAAAAAGTAATATAAGTTGGAAAAGTAGTTAATATTGACCTTTCATCAAAGAAATACTTTCTTTCAACAATGATTTGGTATAAAACAATGAACTAATGAACTTCTAAAATTGTCTTCAACAGAAGTTCCCAAAATTGGGTATAAAGATTGCCAATCAAGCTTTGTGGATCACATAGAAACATTGATAATTTAGAGTAAACACAAATTAGTATAAAAGACTGCCAAAAAAATGTGGCATTGATTTTAACATAACTTTCACACATTTGGAAAAAAACTTGAGGAAATAAAGCTTTGTTTGTAAGCATAATAAAAAAGATGGAAAGTTTTGAGCTTGGTAGAAAAATAGATAAAGATGGTTTCCGTCTTGTCACGAGCGTGGAACAAAGAAAACATTCTGAGTCCCCATGAGGAATTGAACCCATGTCATATGAACTTCATATTGGGTCTCGCTCACTATAGAGTCTCCGTGGCTCAGTTTTTTTCTCATATCCCATGATTTGTGCACAAGGTGTGATAAAACATTCTTAGGACTTACTGGGCCTGAAGGGCCACCTTTAGTCCTGCACATGCCAGGGGTTCAACAAGATTTCCAAATAAAGAAGCATCTTCAGCACTTGCATTTCCATGGATGGCCCTTGCATAGATTCCCTGAAGGATACAATTTTTACCATGAATTGTGATATATAAACACAGAATGCAATAGTAACAGCTGGTCAACATACCATCTATCGCCAAGATCACAATTTGAGATCAAAATATTATGGTACTTCCTAACACCTCCAATAACATAGTCCTTTCTAAAAGTAGTTCCCTTGATTAAAGGCTCTTACTCAGAAAAGGTAAAATTATGGGTAGAGTTTTAAAAAGAAGGCCACTTTTGGTGAAATAGGACATTACATGCAATGTTAACTCTACTTTGTCCCTAAGTATCTGAAATAGAGCACAATTTTCCACAATCAATTTGAGTTCAACATGTTTCTTTCCATCTTGTGCAAAGTTATGTTCATAACATATAAATGCTTTCATTCAGATGTAGTAATACTAAAGTAATGCTATATTTGCCATAATAAACCATGGTTGTTGACAAATTGAAATGGCCCCTGATAAGTGAACAAGCTCTATCAAGTAGCTACATTTGGTCACTTTCTGAGCGGCTACCTAATAGGCATTTAACTCTAATAACATTACCTGGGCTATAGCTGCCATTCTAAAAAATGATAATGCAATGTAAAAGTTCCAATGTTCATGGTGAATATCTCCAAGTCCTCTAAATTTACAGTACAAAGAAATAAGATCCTTCTCTGTTGGAATTCCAGGAGCCAAGGACCCTGTAAAGAGAGACAAAAAGCTCTCTAATGCATTGCTTATCCACTCCATGTAGCACCCACTTTGGTTGCCATAACAAGTAAGAAAAAGGTTGGTGACTGAATATACAGTCAAAATTGCATTTCACCTTTAGTGGCAGGCACTCATGAAGCAAGCAATCAAAAGACAAAACAAAAAAAGCAAAAACAAACTTTATTCAACTAGAGTAAACACTTAACAGTAATTCAACTGAGAAACTAGTGGCCTTCTATCCTAACAACAGCTGTAGAAATAAGTATATACAGAAACACTATCTACAGGTCTAATTTAGGGAGGAATAAAAAAATTGCAAAAAAAAGAGGAAAAAAAGAAAAGATTGGACAGCTAAATAAACTCAATATGCATTCAGAGTGAAATGATCCAATTCATTGTATCCTGATAAAAAATGACTATGGGTGGCCTTTCTAAAAAGATTGTTAAAGCCCCAGCTTTCTTCAAAGTATTTTGTGGGGAGTTCCATACAGTATTGTGCAAAAGTAATGCGAACACCTGTCAAAGAAATTTGACGAAATTCCTCGCTTTTCAACAAATTCCTGACCGAAACGAAACTTCAACGACATTTCCACGAATTTTCGAGGCTTGTATTGTTTTGAACGGCTTAAACTTTCGGCAACATTTTTCTTGATGGCGTTAATGCGACTTGAAATTTCGAGCAAAAATTTGTTCTATGTGGCGAATATTCGGGGTGATAATTCCTTGCAATTCTTCATTCTTTCAAAAAGATTTGGTTGAATTTGTGGTTTGGTACTGCTCTATGTAAAACTCACATGGAATTTCCTGCCACGATTTGAGTCCTCCGCGCAACCTATTTTGTTTGCAATCATGCCAACACTCAGTGTATCAATTGTGTCGATGTATTTGGGATCTTTTATGTAATCTACTTTTGGTAGTCATCATGGCCAAAGTTTCAAATTATTCTACAAAAAAAGTCAAGATCTTCCACAAGCAAGGCCTCCACCCAGCTGAAATACTGAAAGCGTTGAAATGCGAAGGGTTACTAGGCGCATCATTTGAAAGTTGTGTCTCACCAATTTCGTGACAAATTTTCCTTGATTGGGAAGACCTCAAAATGGAAGCGAACAGTGTATGTAGGAACTGTGCAAAATAAGTATTGGCAAAAGATGCCAGAATTTATGCAAAAATAGGGCAACATGACCTAAATGAGAGAGAGTTTATTTCCATCAAATACATGTCTCTTGGTCGCAATTGCTATTCATCCTGATTTACTTTGTGACAACAGAGATGCTGAAAGTTTGCCCTTCCTCAGACTTGCAACTAAAGCAAGGACAGACAAGGTTTTAGTAACCATGGCGTCTAGTTTATGTGTGTATATCTGTGCTACATCTACACATGTACTCAGATTGGAGTTCCCTCGTGAGCGCCTGAGGACTAATGTCCACACACAAGCCCCAACACCCTGTTTCTGTCCAAATCAAGGAGCAGCTGAAGGTGTTCTAGCGACTCATTTTCCTTTAGAAAATTACACATTTGATCACAAATGCACTTTTCAAAAAGCTTAGCTAGAATGGAGGGTATAGATATCGATTAGTAACTATTCTTGTCATTCCAACTTCCTTGTTCTTTTTGATCCCAACCAGTTTATCAACATTCCCCAAAGGAATGTCTGTATGGCGATTCAGAGATCAATTAGCATACATATGGGGTCTGCAATAACATCGTAACCTGTGGCCTTATGCACTGAAATAGATAGTGGGAGGTTGGCAATACTTTCCTTTAATATCTGTGCAATGCATACTCCTCATGGCGCATTGGCACACCGTTCAAGACTATATCAGTAGCATGACATCCTGACAGCTTTCCTGTTTCTCCTCTCAACAAGGTGGCCAAGCATGACTAACGAAAGAAGAGTGATCCTTGATTTGAGCTGGCCTTGTGGCTCACCGTTAACAATGGTATTCCTTCTGGTTACTTTCTTGGAGAGCTTCTGGAATTGAGTTATCCCACCATTGATGCCTTTGTCTTAGCAATTGTTTTTCTCAGTCTGGGTTGTATGCTATACAAGTGTGATCTATGTAAAGTGAACCACCAATTCCCCACTGATCCACATGATTATCATTTACCTGGTTATACATGGAACAGTCAAGTTTACTTTGACACAGTTTTAACCATGGGCCTCCATTCTACCATGATGGCATGTCAGTGTTCCACTCTTGCAGTTACTTAGATTCTCAACCAGCACGACCTTAAAACATTTAATTATCTCAAAGGCTATATTGGTGCTTTCCCACCAACTTTGGCAACCTCTCAATTCCACAAGCTTAGAGAGTTGCTGTATCATCTCGGCTTGGAAGAATCTAGTGACAAATCCAGTCAAATCATCCAGCCCAACACACTGCAAACCCCATGAAGAGCTCCCCCAGTCACTCCTGATGTCTTGTGTCAGATTTCTAAGGTTTTAGATTTTGAGAATGATCCTCTCTCATCCACACAGTTTTATGCCATTTTATAAACATTGTTTTTAATGGCACAATTAGCCAATATAGTACCTTGTTCCCATTAGTGCTTCAATAGTTCATGTCATCTTACTTAGAGAGATGTCACCACAAACCAACATGGGCTGATTGTTACTTTTAAATGCTCTAAGACTATTCATTGTATAAATTGCATATTCCCTTGTTATGTCTGCCAGGCTCTCCTATATGGCCAGTTTCTTGGTCTACCTAATTCTGTTTGCCCAGTCATTACAGTCCCACTATCCTCACTCAAGCTAGTTTTATTGCCTAGTTTTATCCAGCAATTTCTGTTGCTGGTCTCCCAGATGCTTCCTTGTTTCTCAGTAATTCTTTTCATCACGGTGTAGCCTCTTGGGCCTTTAATCACAGCATACTGGGTGAACTCATACAGACATAGGGACTGGGAAAGTGATCCATATAAGGCTTATTTAGAATTTCGTGTTGAATCAAAGCTCACCTTTGTCCATCAGCTTTATTTTGCTATTCTCTCTACTGCTCCATAGTTTCACAGTGAAAAGTTGCCTTTTTGGGGTGTTCCATATGGTGCAGAGTAATTGGTGGTTTTTTAACTTTTTGTTTGTATGCTTAATAAACTTCTCTGTGCCAAAAAGCAAATTGTGTCTCATTTGTGTCAGGCGGTGTAGTTGGGGAATTTACCCTCTTTGGACAAGCACATGTTCAAAGGGATTAATTGTACAACACACACCTCTGGCATCAGGCTCTAAGAATTTCATGTTTCATTTCACACCAGTTTTCACTTCAAGCACACACCAGAGATTTTGTATTGTACCATTTCATTTTTCTTCCCACCCACCCTCCAACCCTGGTTAATTTTGTATGATGTCATAAATGACAGAGAGGTTTATCAGGCATATCATGGGCTGTTGTTTACTTTTTGTTCATATTCTTAATAATCTTCTCTCTGTGCTGAAAAGCAAATTGTGTTTTATTGTGTCAGGGGGCATAGTTAGGGAATTTGGAGTCCACGAATCTTTTGCTGACCATCCCTATGATGAGGTAGGATAACCACAGTGGCAAGATATCCACATTTCAATTGGTGGATATCACACAACTGGGAAGGAAAGCCTACTCATATTGTTTATTCTTCTGTGTAAGCTAAATTCAACTATCTAGTTGCTAAGGAATTATTTAAATAGAAAAATATACCACCTTTGGTCAGGATGAATGGATCAAACTGAAAACCTTTTTTAGGCATCCCAGCTTGCATATTTGAATGTTTGTGGCCCTACTAACAATTTACCACTTTTCCAACAGTTTTATCATATGCAAGTTATACTTTTACATACAATTTCACCATCAAAGTTATAAAAATATAGTTCATTCAAATAGGGCTCAAGTGCTCAGTTAATGGACAGATATTTAAACACCAAAAGTTTATCCTACTTAGATGTGAAGTTGAATATTCACTTGTCAGGGTGTCAGGTTTCAGCAAGTTGTTTGAAGGTTATGTTCTCTCAAGTTATCTTTAACAATACACAAATGCAACATAAAAGGAGCAATTCAAAGAAAACAATGAGTGGTTACATAAGAGCTACACTGTACCTGTGCCTAATGAAAATGAGGACATGTGTCCAAGTTCCTTTGGCCAATGGTAGGGCAAGCAGCAATAGGCTAGATCAAGTAGTGGATCACCCAGAGTAGAGAGCTCCCAGTCTAACACGGCATTCACACATAACTAAAAAGATGGTCAATAAAATTTATATTTGGTATCCGCAGGTTATTCAAATCTACTTCTCTTTTTCACTGTTTGACATCGAAGTGGTTTTATTGAGTCAAAACTAAGGTGGAGAGGACCACTCAACCTTATTTTATTGACAAACAAGGACTAGCATATCAAGACTAGCACTGCAAGTTAGCTTAGATGAAGCACAGTGGTGCACCCTAGATATACAACTAGTTTTTGCTGTGATGCAGAAACACTTGAAGAGTCTATAATGCATTCCATGTTATAGCACTTACATGTAGACAAAAAATTAACCAAAACTTACTCCATGTACTTCAATAAATATAAAAGAATGCAAATTTACCCTTCTACCCTAGGAGTGGAATATTGTTGTGATTAAAATGCAATGACAGTACAAACCTTCCTAGGATCAAAGATCAAATTTTCCAGTCTGAAATCTCCATGAACTAGAACTAAATAAAACAAAACCAACATGACTAAAATAAAATACTTTATTTAGGCAATGGTAATTAAACTCAGTGGAGTGCAATTTGGTCTGAATTCACACACATAATTTGAAATCACAAGTATGATATCAGACAGAGATTGCAAAGACCAGAAAGACATCCAATTCAAGAGTACAAATTTTAAGCACCAAAATACAGGATTTTAGGCTTTACAAATACATCAGTGTTCCAGTAAGGAGACTGTTACTAAAATGGTTTAACCAAACTGATTCAAACAGTTAAACTGGTCCAACTAGACATAATAGTCCAACAGATAAAAAAAACCATTTAAGCAGAAAAAGTAACCCAACTCATCAAAATAACTTAACCAACTTAAAAAACGAGGTTGGTGAAACAAGCTAGAATGGTGTGATAACCTAAAATAGTCCAATCTGTCCAATCAATCAAAAAGACTCAACTACTAAAAATTATTGCACCAGTTATGATGATACAACCAGATAAAATGGGCAAGCTTGAAAAAATGGTACCACTAGTCAACATGATTCAACCAGTGGCAATAGGTGAACTGCAAAAAATGGTCTAGCAGGTAAAAAATGGTGTAACTAAGTAAAATTTTCAACAGGTTAAAATAGTCAGACCACATTTGGTATCTGGGCAAACAAGCTCAATTTATGTTTGCCGTACTTGAATAGCAATTCAAGCACCATTTCAAACCAACCTCAGAGCAAATGTGATCCCGAAATCAAGTACAAACCGTACTCAATAGAATATGAGGCAAACCGAGCTCAACAAAAAACTGAGCTCGATAAGACCAGAAGGAGTTTGTAGAACTCATCTTTTTAATTGAGTACGATATAGTTGGATCGAGCTCAAATAGAATCGACTGCATTTCGAGCTCGTTGATCCAAGGTTGGTTTGAAATGGTATTTGAATTGCTATTGGACCAAATGTGGTCCAAATAGTCTAACTAAATACATGCCTTTAAAACAATAAATGCCTTGAAAATTTGTGGAGATGTCATCAAAGTTTCATTTCGGTCAAGAATTCATCAAAAAGCTAGCAATTTCGTCAAATTTCATCAACAGGTGTTTGCATTACTTTTGCACAATACTGTAAAATGGTCAAAGAGGTTGAACTAGTCTGACTCAGTACAATGCATGTTAGGAGATGCAGCATCTAAACTTTAAGAATTCCCAAACCTGTGTAATGCTTTGTAGAGGTGCCCCATTTTTGAATTTACATTGAAGTGGTTGACCAATACAGCTTACAGTTTTGAGAAAAAAAACACACACACAAACTGCAACAATAAAACCCTTAGACACTGGTCAGGGGATTAACATTAAAGTTAATAGGAACTAATGGAAGGAGCAGGTAGGGGAGTGACATTCATGGTCCCACTGAAACTCAGAAAATGGCATCATATTCTGAGTAAAAATGGTCTAACTAAGAAATTGGTCCAACAAGTTCCAAGGTTCTAATTCATGAAATGGACTACTTGATGAAAAATTATCTCATCGGTGTGATTGTTCTAATCAGATAAAGTGGTCCAACAAGTTTAAAAGGCCTAACTGTTTGAAAGAGTCCAACTGATTAAAATGACCTAATTGGTTAAAACGGACTTTCCAGACAAACTGGTCAAACCAGCTAAACATAGGCTCACTAGCTCAAATGGCCCAACTGGTCAAAGGGTCTAACTAAATAAATGGTCCATTCCAATTAAATGTTCTAATAATATAAACATGGCCCAACCACTAAGAGTGGATCAATTAAACAAAATTATTCAACTCATTTAAGTGGCCTATCCAGATGAAAGAGTCTAACTGGTTAAAAAGGATCAATCTATCTAAATTTTGTAACTACACAAATATGGTCCAACCATTAAGAATGGTCCAACCACCTAAAATGGTGAATGTACATAACTGAATCCAACATGTGTTAATGGTCTAACTAAATGAAATACTTCAACTGATTGAAATGACTAGGCTGTTAAAATGGTCTAACTAGACAAAATTCCAACCAGATGACACAGTCAAAGAATATAAAATGGCCATAAAATGGCCATAAAATGGCCATAAAATGGCCCTTACTTTATTAACTGGTCCTACCCCAGGAAATGGTCAGACCAGACCTGTAGATAATATGGTCCAACTGGTCAAAGTGACCAAAACAGTAAGCTTTGGTCCACCATGTTCAACTACTGCAAATATAATAATGATCTAACCCAATGAATTAAATCAACTGGGTTAAAGGATACAACTACATCCATACATACATTGGATGAATGGCTTCAAGTAAACAGCTTGTTTCTTAATACCACCAAGACTGAAGCCATGCTATTTTGAACTCATTCTTAACTGTCCAAACATGAAGACTTTGATATTAATTTTCATGGACAAAGTTTAAAACGGGTAAACATGCTCACTTATCTTGGTATTATATTTGATGAGACTATTTCTTGGGCTCCCCACATTCAGTACATTTTATCTAAAGCTGGCAAAAGATTAGGTCTGCTATCTTGATAACGAAGAGATTTAACCTGTCATGCTGCCAACATGTTATATCCATCATTTATCTGTTCAATTTTTGACTATGGCAACACTGTATGGAACTGTTGTGGAGTGGGTAATGCCAGACTGCTGGATAATTTTCAAAGAAGGACATCCAGAATTGTTTCAAGATCTATGGATAGTGACAAAGCTTTAATGGATCTTAAATGGCCTGAGTTACAGTTGAGAAGAGATGAACATACTTTTAAATTAGTTAATAAATGCATTTCTGGTAACTGTCCTCAATTTTTTAAGCAATATTTCAATTTTAATGATACCAGAACAAGACAGAGAAATTTACTTCATTTGCCTTGCGTTAGAACTGAAACAGCCAAAAAATATTTTTGTTATCATGGATGTGTTGTTTATAATAGTCAAGTTAATTCGAATTTTCTATAATATTTTATATTGACTAGATTCTTATTGTTTTGTGCGTATTTATAGATTTTTATACCATTGCATATATATAGATTTTTATAGTATTGTTTGATATTTAGATAGTATATATATTATTCTTGCCACCGTTATTATTATTAGTAGTATTATTTATATTTATTTTTGTATTATGCATCGTATTTATTTGAGGATCCTATTCACCAGGGCTCCTATTGATAGCAGACCCTTACGTTCTGATGGGACTATCCTGGTGTTGCGATTGTTATTTATTTTTTAACTAAAGGTGTCATTCAACTAGACAACAAGGCCAACCAATTAAAATAACCAAAAGGGTTAAAAGGGTCAAACTAGATAAAATGATCTAACTTATAAAATGGTCCAACCAGTCATAAGGGTTTAAGTAGATAAAATGATCTACCTGGATAAAACAGTCCAGCCTGTTAAAATGCTCAAACTCCATTAAATGTTCCTAGTGGTGTATAGTTAAAAAAAATCTAGGCAAAAGTGTTAGATTTGACTGTCAAACTATTTCAGTTTAAATTATTATTATCTATTGAGGACTGTGAACTTTAATGGTTTGATATTTTTGCCAGCTTTAGTCTTGTTCAACCAATCAGATTATTTGAACCATTTGTTGTGAAATGTTTCCAAGCAAAAATTGATTACTAAGATATATTATGAATTTAATTGCATATTAAGTTAGTTGTAATTTTGTTATGGTTAAAGTCCACGGTCAAAGTTACAATTAGAAGTAATGTGTAATTAGGAGTGGCATAGTGTAATCAAATTAGTTCTGCAAGCAGTGATGTATGAAACTAGGTATTTGCAGGGCATTTAAGGGTGTAGGAACTAAGCAGCCTAAATTAATACCCACTAATCGTTGTAGAATGTGAACTAATCTTGAATCCCACATGGAACTACTTATCTTGGTGTGGATTTCCTCAGCTAATAAATGTAACATTTTTGTAACCCTAGGATTAGATTGTAATTGAGTAGATAGAGCACAGAACGAAACATGTAATGCTGAATTGTTGTCAATAAAGCCCAAATCAAGAGAAAGTATACAGTCCAAGATTACTGAACCAGTGTGTGCAGAATTCTCTGCAACACAAGTGGGAAATTTTGCGAAACCTTTGTCCTTCAAGCCAGATAGTGAACAAAGATAGTGAACAAAGATAGTGAATGAAGATAGTGAATGAAGATGAGTGAACTTAAGAACAAGAAGAATTCAAGAGCAGGCCACAAGAGTTATCTGAGCTACACTTTTTCTGAAGTGGACAAATGCCTCAAGGACTATACTGAAGACATAAAGAATGAAATTGAACAGTGGAAGGAAGCGTTTCAAGAACAACTGGAGAAGGTTACTACACTGAGCGACCAGATCCTTACATTGATAGAAGTGGATGACGATTCAACTGAGAAATATATGTCCACAGAGGTACATGACACCAACAAACTGAGGTTTGAGGTGAAGTTGCAATTGTCCACCATTGGGAAACTGCTAGCCACAAATTTGCCAAATGAACCACTGCCATCATCCCCCAGCCTCTCCGCAGAACTGCAGAGCATCAAGTCCCAGGGTCATCCACCCCAACTGCTCCCGTTCAGGCAAGATTGCCGAAACTTGAAGTTCAGAAGTTTGGGGGCAACATTGGTGAGTGGCAGGAGTTTTGGGACTCCTTTGAGAGCGCAATTGACAAAAATTTGACTTTGGCCGACATCAACAAATTTTCGTAGTTGCACGGCCTTCTGGTTGTGTCAGCACAGTCGGCGATAACTGGATTTGCCCTTACGTCAGCGAATTATAAAGCAGTGACAGAGCTGCTACAGAGATGTTATGGAGAAAGGGCAGCCATTCAAAGAATGTACATCAATGACCTGATGAACATAGAGCCCTGATGTTTGCCGACACAAAGAGCAGTTAGAGATAGATGTTCTTATAGGGGCGGATTATCTATGGAGCTTTCAGACAGGTAATTTTGTCAGGGGAGGTGTGGGTGAGCCGGTAGGCATAGAAACACAGTTAGGATGGGTTGTTTCTGGTCCTTTAGAGTCTAGTCAGTCAACAGAGAGAGAGTGAGCGGTCAGTGTATATCTTATAGGAAGAGACAGTATAATTATGGGAAAATTAGAAGAGGACATTAAGGTTCTTTGGGACTTAGAAACATTAGGGATAGCAGAGAGTGACAGAGTTTACGAGGAATTTGTAGACAACATCACGTTTAACGGAAATTGGTATTCCATCAAGGTGCAATAGAAGGAGGGGCATGACATCTTAGATAGTAATTACAAGTTGAGTTTGTCATTTATGAAAGGTCAGGTCAAAAAGCTTAGACAGGAGCCAGAGGTGTTGAGAGTACGACTCAGTTATCAAAGTCATAAGAGTGAGACACTCAAATAAACATGCCATAAAATTTTCGTGGTAACAACCGAGTTAATGAACATATTTACCCATAAACAACCCTTAACAATCAAGGGTATAGTTCATTTCTCTGACTATTTTGATACAATGTCAGTGAATGATCACTACACCCTTCACAAAACAATATAGATTTTTGCTCTCCTGAGGTGGCAATCTTCCATAAGGTTGTGGCTGAAAATGTCAATAAGAAAGTGTTGACACACCAGCTGAACCACTTCAGCAAAAGCAGTGAAGATGAACAAGGCACTGATTACTTGAACATGACCCAATGGTTCCCATCTATTGACTAGGATTGCATAAGGGTTTGGCCCCCAAGAAAGTGGTGAATATCCTCTTCCATCTGCCTCAAGAACTTATTGCTCATGTTGTTCCTTCCACACATAAAGCACTTTAAAAAGGTTCTGGCTGACAACCTTGTTGCATGGAATCCATCTGGGATGAAACAGCAATTTTACCATGCTTCCACCAAGACGAAGCCTATTTGTAACACATCCCAATGAAATTATGATGATCATGTGGCACAGGTCTACATAAACGTGCAAGAGGCTTCTACAAGAATGAATCCTCCCTGATTTGTAGAGGATTTTCATTTATGTAACAGGTAGGACTATTTAAACTGATAATAGAAAAATCTCAAATTGAGGCCTTGCAGTATTAACAAAGCCATGGCAAAGTCATTACAGCAAAGCCTCAGTTGGAAAGTTTCCTGTTATAACAAATAAACAGTCAAGGTTAGTAAGTTGTTTATTACATGAATAAGAAAAACCTTTTTGAAGATAGAGAAAATCAATTCAAACCAAGTCCAACTGCTCAAGTGAAAAAGTAAACTACTATTTTCCTGCCAAAAATAGGAAACAAAATTATCAAAAAAAAAAAAAAAAGAAAAAGTATTTAAAATTTTTTGGCATTTCAATGGCATTATTTTACAATGAGATTCACAATTTTTTCCTTTGATATAAGGTTGTGTATATTTTTTTATTTTTTCCTTCGTCCTCCCCAGCACAATCTTGTAAGAAGTTTAACACAGTTCTATTAGCTGCAGCAAATAGAATTGACTCTCTTTTGGAGTTAAGAGGCCTTAATCATTTTCTCTGGTCGAATTTCAGAGGAAGAGGACCATGTTTTTTTCTTCCCAATTTGTACAGCAATCGGCCTCAATGCCAGTATGAGAGTGGACTGCCCTGCTCTGCTCTTGCCAATAAACCACAATTAACCAATCAACCTCACTTTATCAGTAATGATGTAATAAATCTGACCAGCAAAAAGGGGTTTTAATCCCTACAGCATATCATATCAGCACACAAGCTTTCTTTACACTCACTCTCAGAGTGCTTTGTTATTCACTTTTTTAAGTATAGGGTAGAAATTATGAGGCAAATGATGACATATGAATTGCAATCCATGTCTAGGCTGGTGTCCCAGGTGTATACGATCAGAACAGAAATTAATGCATGAACTTGGTTCTACAAGTAGAGAAACAATTCACAAGGAAAAGGAAGCTTTCCATTCCAGAGTTTATGAGGCTACTACAAATGGTGGTGAAAAGACAGAGAACAGAGGAGGACCTAGCACTTATTGAGCTCAGAGTGCTGAAAATGGACAAAAACTACATGGAATAGGAATGAAGGAGTCTGTCTTTTACAGGAAGATAAGAGTGTAACAAGAAGCTACACTAAAAACATTTCACAATCTCCCAGTAAAGACAGTTGAAGTAATTCCTGTAGACCTAGAAAACACAGATGAAGCAGCCACAATGTCACCATTGAGTTTGCCTGTGCAAATGAGGCAATTGATGCTTCATCCTATGCAGTTGGTGAGAAACATTCCATGCAACATGGAAAATACTATGTGTGCAGCATCACTTGTATTGATTTTAAAGCTTAAGACATTTGTGCTCATACTTTAGTTTTGGTGGAAATGGATTGTTCATCAACTGAGTTCATTCATTGTTATAAGGCAACAAACTAAAGGCCTCCCAACATGGATGCCTTGAATCACATGGACCTCCCTCCTGGGCATGGGTCAAAAAAGACCAAGCCAACACAAAGAAGGAAAGGTGCTACAAACAAAAAAAAAGAAAATTGTGGAGAGTTATATGAACACCTCTCCAACTGACCATTAAGCATTGAATATGGTGTTTACTTTAGTAAGATCCTAAGCTAATTTGGTTCAAAGAAATAACAAAGTCTATCAAATAAAGCTGTTAGTGATATTGTGCACCAAGTTGAAAGAAAACAGAACTCCTAATCAGAAATGACCTGCAGGACATGAGGTTTATAAAGATGTAGCATCTGGTGAGACTGTTGGCTCATTTCAAATCATACTTCCCATGCAGCCACCAACTAATCTTGGCTCTTAACTAAAATGCCATCTTCATTCATTTCTTTCACACAATCTGCAGAATAAAAACCCTAAAACATCAACATGCACAGTTCAAGAAGGTAGTTTCCTGTTGAGCCTTCTTAAAAGGTGTTACAGGTGTAAGGTTGTCCTTAAACTGAGGCATGGTGAAGACATTTTTATTCACGACCCACCAAAAGACCTCCTCATGATATCAAGCACAAGATGGGCCTACTGGCAGAATGGAGAGCAAAAGACTGGAGGATTAGGAAATGTATACTTTCATTGCAAGGTTGAGTGCATCCAGAAACTACCGCCCCAATTTAATCCCTTCTTGGTGATAATTCCAGCCACCTTTAAAAGTGAATTACTCAAAGCTCATAGAAATCATCTACAGAAAGAGCTGGGTCTCTAGAGTTCAGAAAAATTGCATGCTTAAGCCATAAAAGGCAAACCTGCTATTTGAAAAATTGTCAGTGCTGAAACTGTGCTGTTTTAACAATCATCGGAATGCAAGACATGACACCCAAGCATGTCTTTATTGTATCTAAAAGGGGAAAATGGTGTACCTGAGGAGAGAGGTTGCTTTGTACATACATATACGTATGTAATATACCTACATACAAATATGTATGTAATATACATACATATATGTATGTAATATATCTACATACATATATGTATGTAATATACCTACACACATATATGTATGTAATGTAGGCAAGTAATATACAGAGGAGAATCACCTGTGTATATTACTTGCCTTTTAATATGTTATAGTGATCTTCACTCCTGTAACACTAGGTATGCAAATTACAACTTAGTATGCCCAAAGTTTAAACATAAATTAGATGGCAGTAAAACTTTCACTGTTACCACATGTCAACTATGGAACTGTTTTCCTATCACCTTATGACAAGACATCAGAAAAACGTTTTGAAAAGGCCTTAAGGCAGTTCTTTCTAAGAAACTAACAGTTTGAATCATATTATAGTTTAATAGGTTCCTCTTTTATAGTTTCCTGACTCTGTCATTTAATCCTTGAGATCTACTTTATTTTGGATTTTACTATGGGACTTTTAATTTTTTAACTGTTCTTCTATTTCTATAATAATATATTTATTCTTACTTATTGATTTCTATCTTTGTATTAGTATTATCATATGTATTGTATGAGGGCCAAAAGTTTATTAGCCTTTTGGCTATTAAGTGCTAACCTCTTTAAATAAAGAGTTTACTTACTTACTTACCTACTGACTTAACTACTTACCTACAGAATGGAAAGCTCTTGCAGTGGTTTGGACTTGTGAAAGCTTACATCTATATGCCTACAGGAGGCCCATCACAATTTACACCACAAACCCTTGGTGTCCATCTACAGCAGCCCAAGCTCCCAGCCTCCAGCAAGAATTAAGAGGTGGGTGTTAAGACTTCAACCACATCAGATCACAGTCAAGTATTGAGGAGAGGTAGGGGAGAGGTAAACCCCCCAGAATACCTTTCACGACACCCAACAAAACATGCAGCCACAACAAGCCAAAAGAAGAAAGTGGTAGAGGAATGCATCAGCTACACCACAACCTCTTCAACCCCTAAAAACCTTGAAGACACAAGACATCAAGTCCACCACTCAGAGTGATCCAACCCTGCAGCCATAGCAGAGGCTATTCAAAAAGGCACCTGGCATTATGTAGTCAAAACAACATCACAAACTTTCTTGACTGTGGCAAGCTCACTCTACACTCTACATGGAAGTTTTCCAAAGATCATGTTCCAAACTGTGCAAAGTTTGGTTTCCAAGAATAAGGTTGGTGGAGTCATGTCATGTGACACATATTTGATTACTACTGCTGAGTGCAAGAGAGAACCCTAATGAATGTTACCACTCCAGCAGCGCTGTGGAAGAAAGTCAGCGTTGACTTTGCCGAGATCTGTAACAGCAAGTACCTCCTCTTAACTACTGATGGTACCCAGTGGTCAAAATAGTGAGATCAACCTCAGCAACAACCATGATACCAAGGCTGGACAATGTGTTCTCAGAATTTGGAGTTCCAAAGGACAACCACCCCCATTTCAATAGTAAAGGGTATGCATCATTATCACATTATCACATAGTGGAGCATGACTGTGACATTATAGCAGTAATGGAGACATGGCTTCCTTGTGAAGATTTATTAGCTAATCAAATCATTGGTGATGTCTGTCCCGAAGGATACAAAATGTCTCATATACCTCGTGGCACTGGTCATCATGGGGGTGGCATTGACATCTTGTATAAAACATGTCTCGACATACCTGTTGCTGATAATTGCCAACTAACCACTGTTAAATATAATACTTTTTTAATAATACTTTTGAACATGTTGAATATCTCCTAAATATGAACTCTAAATGGATTAGGATTATTACCCTCTACCATCCTCCTCCATCTACTACCAATGGCCTTACAACAGCACAGTTCTTTTTTGAATTTGCAATGTTCTTGGAACACTTAATATCACTCTCTGGGCAAATCTCAATTGTAGGAGATGTCAATCTTCATTTGGATAATACCTCAAATAATCAAACAAGAGAATTTCTGGAACTACTGGATACCCTGAATCTGAGTTAACTGGTGAATCAACCAACTCATAGACTTGGTCATACTTTGGATTGCATAATAACTGAACAGAATGTGAATCTAGTAGATGATATCTGTGTGCACACTCCTTGGATATCTGACCATAGCCCTGTAGCTTTTAAACTCTCAGTACAAAAACCTGCGTTATCCTATAAGACTGTAATTACTTGAAACCGAAAGTCTTTAAACCTGGATCAACTCAATTATGATATTACAAGAGCTGACTGAAAGTGGTTTTCGGCAATCACAAACCACTAGAATCAATTTTTAAGAGGCCTTTGCATCGTGCCCCCTAGTGTTTGCAAGCCATGATCACTTGTCTACAGAAGTATGACCTGGAGATGATGTATCAGAGGGGAGACAAGACATTCTTACCAGACACCCTTTCAAGATTGTTTCTCCCAGCCAGTCAACAAGATGAGTCAGAGTTTGAAACAATTTAACATGATCAAGTATCTTCCTGTATCGGAAGAAAGGCTCCAGCAGATTCAGAAAGACATTGAAGCAGATGAGTCTCTTCAAGTGTTTAAGGTTGTGATCCAGAAGGGCTAGCCAAAGCATAAGAGTATCTTCCCCTACTTCAACATGCGTGACGAGATGTCCATCCAGGACAGCCTCATTTTTAAGGGAGAGTGAGTTATGGTTCCCCCATGCTTCTAGGAGCAAGCTGTTGAAACGAATTCCCAGCTCACACTTTGGGGTCAACAGCTGTCTAAACAGAGTGCATAAGTGTGCGTATTGGCCCAGGATGGCCACTGACATTAAGAGCCATGTGTGGACATGTGAGGTATGTCATGAACATGAACAAGGGCAAGCTAAGGAAACAATGATGTCTTTGCAGTCACTTTCATATTCACATCTTTATCTGTAGTTCAAATATACACTTCATCACTTCATGGGTTTATTTGGAACCAACATAATGACCAGCTTCCAGTTGGCTTGTTAGCTCAGTTGGTGGGACACCAGAGGTCATAGGTTCAAATCCTGTACAGGCCTGAATTTTTTTTCAGTCCTTATTTTCACTACTGCTCAAGTACTGTTCATTACTGCAAAGATCACTTTCATATTCACATCAATAATTTTTGTTGACTTGATATCCTTTAGCATGCAATTAATAAATTTTCACACTTCTTCTTTTCAGTGTTTCATTGAGAATGATACCTCTTGATACCACTGTCACTGATGCCTCAATTATTCTGCCGTGCCATTAATTATGCTATGCCACAAAATGAGCATGTCTGCATCATTTTCCATTTGAATTGCTCTGAAGCCTGCTTTTTCACAATTAAATTCTTTTATTTTCAAGTTCATTACCCATGTGAGTAAGAATTATTTTTTTGAACTAAATAAAGAAACAAGCTGAGAAATTGACAAGGTAAGAAAGTAAGAGTACAAACAAGATAAAAGCTTTGTTATTGAGTACTCTCCACTAATACATCAACCGATATATTGGTTGATATATTGGTTGACTGACAACTGACTGTCGACTGATATATCAGTCAACAGTCAATTAACTCTGGGCCAACTGTTGGTCGATATATCAATCGATATGCATGTTGGCCAATATAGCTTTTAGTTCACCGATACTTTGCTGATACGTCTAACTAGTTAAAATGGTCCAACCATTTAGAATGATCTAACAAGACAAAATGGTCCACCTAATTCTGTAGTACTGTCAAATGCAGGCTACCAAACTGGCAACTTTCAGCGGAAATTTATTTACCAAAAGTTATCTAACTCAACATGACAACCAAAACAGTCATAGCTGGAGATTGGGTATGCATGGTCAAAACTTGTGAAAACAAACCAATTTTGACTCAAAGATCCACAAGACACAATAAAACCCATACTCCCATGCTACAAAAATGTCTTTTTCCAAAATTGTATTTCATGATTTAGCTGCAATATCAAGTGAGGTCACATGCCCTAACAAACACAGAATAGAAGGTGCATGGATTGCTTTATGGCCAGAAGAGAGAGCCAATTCAGGGTCAAATCATGCTAAAAACAGATGTAACAGGTATAACAGTCTGTTGTGAGCACTGTGGAATGAAACCTGACTTTTCAATACACAATTTAAACATGCAAATTAACTGACTGAGAATGATGTTACCTATGTTCTGCCTCCAAACAGGAATATTCTTCTCAAGCCAGGATAGCAGACTTTCCACAGAATCAATGTGACATGTTTCTGATGCTCTGTACTGTCTCCTCCAGGTTGATACCTGTATTATTATGCAATAGTGAAAATTATTGGAATATCATAATATCTACTGTAAGGGTCATACATTGAAAAAATTTATGAAAATAACCTTTTTTTACAATGTCTAATATACACGTACTATAGGGATACCTATATTGTGTCGACATCCATAGGGCCCTCTAGCACCTGCTGACAACAGGGTGTCACTTTGATTCAAAAGTTTTTCTAAGCAGACCTTTCAATACGTTTTAAATGACTGTACAACCCTCTTTAGCCTGAATCAATGTGTGTTACTGGTTTGCTTGAATTCATAGTGAAATAACTGGGTCATGGTGACTGCAATATTGGGTGAGTATAAGGTGACTGCAATAATGGGTGAGTATAAGGTTGTGAAATATTTACTGTATTTTAAATGACAAGAATACTCATATGAAGTGCAACGAATGTTGAGGTACATCCTGTTAATTATCTTTTTCTTGAGTTATTCACACCTTTAAATTCTGTAACCTACCAAAGAGAGGCTTAAGTTAATTCAATTTCCCTTTCTGGTTAAACTTTGTTGTGAGGTGGAAGAAATCCTTCCCCTTTATGCCATGTGAAGTCGTCTCTTAAAATTATAACGATGTTGACTTTCATTTAGGTATTGTTTCTCACGTGTAGCCCTGTATTCAAAATTGATTGTTTATATCTATAAAAATATTACATATCCTTAGTAAAATGCTTATGCTTATCTATGAAGTGCAACTTTCCTGCCCCTTCACCAAACCAACCATTTTATTTTTCAATCACGGTTATAGGATGATCTGGTTATTACTGACACCTAGTTCAAAAACCATAAACTGACTGTCAATGTAAGCATATACCAGTGCACTGTAAATTTTTTATGATTGAGGGCAATTTTTCCAACTCAATGTATGACAACTTGGTTTTCCCTGTGCTTCTCTAATTGTAAATTGGAATTGAGTAGGTGCAAACTTGATTGGAACATACTAATCTGAGTTATTTAACAGGCAAAAACTCTCATCCCTTAGGTATTAATCAACGATATGTTCTTTCAAGTCTGACTTTTGACCTCTCTCAATTCCTGAAATTATATCTGGTTTTGTAATGCATGGAAAAAATATAATCAACTGCATATCATTTAATGTAAATTGTTGACTCGCAAAGTTGCTGCTGACAAGAGGAAAAGCACTGGCCCCTAAACTGACCCCTGAAGTAGACCCTGCTTAACAGACAGCATTCAGAAATTATGTTTTCAGGCCTAATTTGATAAATTATCTCCCCTCTCTGAAACAAGATTTACATCAGCCAACATAAGAAAGGCTAAGCCACAAAAAAATTTTCTCCAAAGCCTGGTTACTCAGTTACATTAAAACCTTTGTGAAGGTCTATGAAGTTGAACTGCTTGCATTGTTTTTCTCATTCTTATTATAAAACAAAGACAAAAGGACTTAAAGAAAAACTCAAAGTTGTTTGGCTTTGATGATAGAATTTCTTGAAGAAGAGAATTAAATTCTAAAACAAGAGGATTGCCAATAACCCATTTTGGCAATGTACTAGAGCAGTTGGCTAGATAACTCGGTTGGTAGAGCACTGTGTTGGTGTCCCAAAGGTGATGGGTTCAAATCTGTTAAAGGCCTTCATTTTTTATCATTACTGACTTTACTGACTTCTACCTGATTTTACTGATTTTTTTCAATGGCAAAGGGTTGCTATCAATCAATCATTTATTACTTTGTTTATAATATATTAATATTACCTTTACAAAGATTTTTTTCAATTTTGATAGAATTTTCATAACTCAATTTTATTCACATGAAGCAGGTAAGTTAGTGTTAACAACTGAGTTAAAAATGTAAATTGACCATTGTAAAGAGTAAAAAAGCTGACATTTCCAGTGTTAGCCCTTCATCAGAGTGATAGGGCTCTGAAGAAGGGCTAACACTTGAAACGTCAGCTTTTAACTCTCTACGGTTGCCAATTTACATTTTCAACTCAGTTGTTAACATTAAATTACCTAATAAATTATTGTTTGTATACACAGAATTTTTCTTCTTGTGTCCAACTCAGTATCTCTCTTGTTCCTTGCACTCACAAGGGAGGTATAGAGTTGAACAGACAAATTCCATACTTACAAGCGACACTGTATTACTCTCTAGGCATCATTTTGTGCCCCACCTTAAAAGCTATGTTCATGACCACATGTGCCATCAATCCTCCGCAGTACTTGTTGCTGGAGATTTTTCTTTCCAATGCAATTGCTTTTTATGTTATTAGAGGAAAGTCCAAAATCTTAGCAGCATTTAATTACAAGGTTTGTTAATGTAGAGTTATTTAACTCCACAACAACATCATTTTTGTGGCCAATTTTTAAAGATATCAACAAGGAACCTATTTATTCATTGCTGTTGATACCATTCCCTTTGTAAACTACTTCTTTTTCTTATGAGCCAAAGGTTTGTTTGTTTATTCTATTGTCTCAGTATCTCCCAATCTCTATTCAATTAAGTTTGTTTTACTACAATATTAATTTACAAATGTGGCTTTTTGTCTTAATTCTATTAAGACTTGTGGTTTGCCTTTTTGCCTGTACCAGTATACCCTTCCCTGTCCTCTGACAGGGCAGACTAAGGTGCCTATTTTAACAGCTTATACCATGTTTTCATAAAAAGTCAACTCTCTTTGTCATCTAGACAGGCAGATGAGGCCTCTTGACAAGTCTACATTAATAAAGAATATGTCAGCCAAAATAGCAGTGTTGTTTAACTGATGCTTTCACTGAGCTATAACACCATAAAATGCAGCAGCTATTAGAATGATTTGAATTGGTTCATTACTGATTAAGTTAATTTAGACACATTATCAAGTGGTACCATTGACCTCAACCATTGGCCTCACAGGACCTACAACATTATCCTAGGGTGGACTCAGATTCAACCTCATTAAAGCCCTTACTAATTAATGCTTAAGTTCACATAAGTCTCCAATAACATACATTTATTAGTTTATGATGTACTACTTGTCTTACATTGGTGCTACCAGTCACTTGAGAGAGGGTGAAGAGTTCTCAAAAGTATTCCCTGTTATCATCCAGGTAAAAAATTGAATGCAGCTAGATTGTCTGAGTTGAGGGCTTGCTGTTGGACTACAGAAAACTCTGATTTTTACCATAATCATTCAAAATATGAAAGAAAAACAAGCAAGAAGTTTGTCTCTGAAGGAAGGGCCAATATGTTATAATAAGCCACTAAAGAAGTGAATGAATTCCAAATTACCTGTCTCCATAAGAAGTTGGACTGATGGCCAAAATCAGAGAGTTCCAAACCCTTCCAATTGATGTTGTGTAGCCTTGCCAAAGTACTGATCATGCCATTGTAGATAGCTTTTCGATCATCTTCTGAATGATTTGGCAATGTGGGTTTACGAAATATGATACCCTGAAAAAAAGAGTTTATCAATCAGAAATCATTTTCAAAAATTCAAAGTGCCTTAAAATGTTCCGGCACATGGCCTTTGTCAGATGGCAGACAATGAATAATGTAAGAATGAACACAAGTAATGAGGCTAGGAAGCATAGCATGGGAAAAATCAATGCCTTTGTGAAAAAGAAAAATTATATTTTTAAAAGTACTTTACATGAAAAAATCTCTTGTTGGTGTTTTCTTAGACTTAACTTTCAGCAACTTTCAATAGTACTGAAAATAGCATTTGATATTGGGGCTGTGCAGTTGTTCTAACCAATATCTGGCAAAGCACCTGACTTTAGTCCCCTTTTTACTAACCCAGTCATTCTTAGTTTTTCAAGGTCTGTGATGGCTCTTACCATAATCCAGACTCTACTTTGGGTAATTTCTCAATGATTGAAAGGCCCTTTACAAAAGCATTTTCATTACCTACTTTGCCTCTATGAGACAAAGCTAAGACTTCATTGCATATTATTTCACTTCCATGCAAAAGACACTCAGTTACATCTACCATTTAACTCTCTTCTTGATGTCTGACTTTTAAGAGATAAAATTGAAGCCTTGTATTCATGATATTGATTGATGGATGCTACGTAATAGATCAAAGGATGAGCAAATGTAAAAATGCAATTGCTGGTTTATAATTTAATGACAATCTTCCTTTGAGTTCTTTAAAGTATCTCATGATCAAGGATACAGAAGTTTCCAATTTGGTAAATTAAAACATAACAGTCTAGTTCTTGTTACAGCATACCTCTTCTATGTATGTAGAGGTATACATGTAGAGCATCTCAAGACTTCACTACTTGAATCTATAATAATTTTCTTTATGATAGACATGAAATTAGGTCTTAAAAGGTATTCATTTAAAAAGTCTATTGCAAAATAGGTAGTGGTTCATGTTAGTCTTGAAACACCATTTGTGTTACTAATTTCCTACAAATTTCCTTTTGCTTTATATTTAGTTATTATGTAGCCAATTACATGATCTAAAATGAAGGCATCAGTAGAAATCAAGATTTCCTGGAATTCTATATCAACTTTGGAATCTTCGCTTCTCAGGAAATAGTTCTTACGAAGGGCACTACTCTTTAGCAACACCTTGGCTTTTTTCACTCATCATAGCCTATAAAAGTGCAACATTAGTAAAAAAGAAGTTGGTCGAAGCTACACCATGACCTTTGCTATGATCAGAAGGATCCAAGCTACCCCTATCTCAAGTGTCTTTGCTATTTTTTTGGCGCAAGTCGTCAACCGAAGCATACAAGTCTTTTCTTTGTTGTTAATTAAGTTGCAGAATCATAATTGGCCTCATCATAGAACATCTTATTTTTAGTCAGCTAAGTGTTATCATTACAGTATCATTGCAAAACAATCTTGGTCCTCAATTGTCCTTGTTTCTTTTCAAATTGTTATTCTTTTATGCTCACTCTAGTTACTCTGTTTTAGTACTGACAATACTGTTGTTTGTATTTTCTTAAGACAAAAGAATTATCACATCTATTCATTTCTCACTATGAGTTTTCTGGTTATATTATTGCACCAACAGCTACTACTACATGTATGTTTTTCTAATGCTACTGCTATTAAGGCCAAGGAACTTCAATCTTCATTATCTTATAACCCTTCATGTCAAATGCTACTGATTGATCTAAACCTTTGAACTTTGATCTGTCATTAAATGAGTTTAGAGAGCCTGTTTGCTTTGATCCAATTTGACAGTTTATTGAATTCACTATTTAATGTGCTGATTAGTAAATCTGAATCCATTCTCATTACATTCCCAGTAATAAACAATTAATACCATTTAATGGAAAATTAAAGCACAACAAATTATAGTCTATACATCACTTACCTGTACATGTTCCATGATGTAGAACTCAGTTCCAATGACTGAAATATCTCCACAATAGAGGTAAGGATTTGGCACTGGGAAGGAGGCAGATTTTAACGCTGATAGTACTCTAAATTCTCTGTCAACCTGTAAGGATAAAAAGAAATCTTGAAGAAAAAAACTGACTATATAGTACTTTACTGCAACTTCACATTCAAATTTTATAATTTCAACTATGCTCTAAAGAAATTTAAGAAAACTCCTGTAACTCTTACAGATGTATTTGACACGAACTGTGGCATTGGTGACTTCAGGCACATTTTCTGCCCTCAGGTAACTCAAGAACCGCTAAGAGCAACTATGAAGCCTAACTACCAAAACAACTGCCTATTGATGTATTGTCACAAATTGATTATGGACATACTTAACTCTGTAAAGATTGCAAAGAGGTTTGCTTGTGCCAATGAACACTACAAAGTTCATTCTAAAAACTTTGAGTAGGGGTATGCACATAGCTGTGTAAGATATATAAGCCCCCACGTTTTAAAATGCCTTGCCACCTCTGACAGTAGCCTGTGCTGCACTATCAATCAGCAAAAATAAACAAAAAAATTAGCACCCAAAAAGGACAGGGGTATGGCAAAGAAAAAATAGGAAATAGATTGTAAAAGGATTGTTTGAAATATCCCATTCTGACCACTCAGACCCACCCACTCAAAGAAAATGTTTCAGATTAGGTAAGGTAAAGTTTCAGATTAGATCATGCCTATACTGTTTGTTTGGGTGGTAGATCAGGAGAAGACAGGTTTCATTTTTCAAAACAACCAGTTTTTTCAACACATAAGATCCAGTATATTAACTCTTGTAAGTGTGCACCCACATCAATCTGGTCATGCCTCAAAATACCGACCCTCAGTTTCTATTAAAATATCTTTCCCTCCATGAAAAAATAGCGGTAGTCAATGTAAAAAGGTGAAAAGGATCATATGGTAAGTAAAAATAGAACTTGAATAGAATAGGAATAAACCACAACTGTTTTCAGAAGGTGGCAACCATTGTATTTACTCGTGTATAAGTCGACCTTTTATGACCAAAAAGTCAGCCCAAAAAAATCACCCTTGACTAATAGACAAGTCATACACAAAGAACTGACCTTAGCAATCCAAGAAATTAGCATAAAAATTGCCTGAAGTCTGTTAGGAAAACCAGGTAAATAAAACCAGTTCTAATTGTGTTTGAGTTTTGTCACTTTTCAGTGCATTCTTGGTAAAAAAAAAAGTTTGAAATGATAAATTTTAAGTGGCTGAACACAAAGTTACTGGAGCTGGTTTCTATTGTGTCTTTGGACTGAAGGGCAGACATTTTTGCTTGCAGCTTTCAAATTGCTAATTCATGTCGAAAAAGGGGGGTCGAGAGCCTAGTTCAGTTGAAAAAGGGCTAAGAAATACATCAGCTGACATCGTTTGAATGGATTAAGGTTTATTACATGATAAGCTGTATGATTGGTTCTCACTTGGAATCTTTTGGAAAAACAGATGCATAGATGACGTCACCATTAACAGCATTTACTTATTTATCATATAAAACAATTAGCTTCCATGTAGGCCTGGTGTCTTTACACAAATGGATTCTATTACATATCTCTCTACATGTCTCTCTACATATCTTTCAGTTACAGTGGGCTCTGATTTGCATATTTAATGCTGTAGGCCCAATCAAGATGTTGGACTACTTGTCTTTCATTCTCTCCTCACTTTTAACCAAAGAGTTGTTTACTTAGTTGTCTGATCCTTGCCCAAAGCTGTGGGAAGTGTTGTATTTGAGGTCACACTTTGAAGTGCTTGAGTTCTTTGTCTAGCTTTATGTCCAGGAAAATATGAATGTTTAGTTCTGGCACTATTGGTGGCTTGTAGGTTTCTTTATTTGCCTCTTCTTTGCACCTTCTTTCAGGTGCTTGCTGTTTATGGTGCCAAACTTTCATTTTTATCGAATGATTTCAGTAGCTTACTGACCTGGCAAATGCTGCTGTCTCGCGCAGTCTTGCCTGTTATATGCGATTCTTTGGAACTCTTCAGTGTTCCTTCAGTCTACTTAATCTCCTTTCAAACTCAACATTAAGATTAAGGTTGGTTAAATGCAAGAAGATTTCATTTTCAAAGTGAATTACAAAATATGGTTAGATACTTCTCCAGTAAATCGAAGTGCTCGTGTATGCTTAAATCGTGGCGATGTAAACAAGTACTAATAAAATTCACAGCACACGGTTATATTTTGCTGTGCAGTCTTTTGAATTCTCCATGTTTTCAATACAATCTCAGAAATAAGAGATTATCTTTCTGGGAAATTCCTATCTGTCTGAATTTTTTTACTTTTTTGACTAGAAATGATGAAAAATCCAATTTTTGACCTTGAAAACTGGGGTCAACTTATACACGATTTCGACTTATACATGAGTAAATATGGTATACGCAATTCAAGAGTGTACAGTAAAGCCTCTATAAACAACTTACAAAATAATTGTTTATTAGTGCACAACTGTGGGTTGAAAGTAGCCTAATATTTTAACTTGGATAATAATAATAATAATAATATGTAATATTTATATTGTGTATTTTCTTTTAAAAAATAATCAAATGCACAAGAAATTATCAGTAGAGAGATGATTCACACACCAAATCTCCTCTAAAACCCTTTAGCTTTTGCAATTAAATATAATTATCATAATTGAGCATTGGGTGCATAACAAAATATTAGTCAACTCAACTTATTAGTAGAATTATGCACAACAAATTTAATTATCATGTCCAAAGACCAAACTGCAAAATTAATAACAGGTATAACTTTTTGAAAGCTGCAAACTGTCAGAACATATAAGAGCCAGCATACATGCTCACCTGATGTGCTCCTTTGAGAAGCTTACCAGGAGGTTTTTTCCTGAGAACAAATTCTTTTCCATCTTTTGACAAGTAAAATGTCGGATTGGACTGCCCAGAGCTAAGGAACAATTTGTTGGTAAACAATTAAGATTAGTGATAACTCAAACCAACCCATACAGTCAGATAATTTATTTAAGGATAGGTGACTCACAAACAAGATCTTGATGAAACCTTAAAATGATCACAGCTGATGACGTAGTACTCCACTAAACCATAAAACATGACTTCAAGTAATGTTTGGGACAAAGACAGCCTTTATTGTTACAAGATTACTATAATTAACAAATATTTTCACAAATACATAAGTTTTAAGATATGCATAATTATAAGCTAATAATAAATTAATACTTAAACATATTTTTAAAAAACATAGGCATCTTATGCATGTAGAAGTTACCTCTTCGGATGGGCAGTTTGAAATGGGATACTAATATTTGTAAAAAAAAAAAAAGATAATATACTTTCAAAAGATTCCAATGAAAATAATTTTAGTGGAGAGCAAAAAAGACCCTACACTTCCTGAAGTCTCCCTCACAGCTGTTGTTTAGTCTAGTGACACAACTCTCTCTCCCCCCATTACAAATGAGACCCAAGAGTAGCCTGCTTGCAGCCTAAGACTATGTTTACTGTCCTTCCTTTGTCCAAGACAAAATTCACTAACAGCTAGTTGCCTCAAAAATATTCTTCCTATTAATTTTGCTGCAGAAAGTAACCAAAACTTTATCCTATTTCAAATAGCCTCCAACCAAAGATATTTTGTGGACAAGTAGAAATAAATTGAATGAAGAGAAATTATCATATTTCAAAGACTTTCAAGTGGGCATAACATATAAGGTTAGTTCACATTAAAAAGTATCATGGAGTCTCCAGAAAAAAACTTGTAGTATCCTTGGTTTTCCACATTTCCATGTTTACCACAAATAACCTCATATTCCGCATACACCTCTATTGAACCGCGACAGACAACAAATTAACCATTTCTGATACAAGTTAGGGACTTGCATAGGGCTGACAGATTTGATAAGAAATACTCTATAGTAATGATACAATGTTACTCAATATATCCTTGAAGAAGGTAATTTAGTGTTAACAACTGGGTTGAAAACGTAAATAAGCCACCGTAAAGGCTAAAAAAGCTGACATTTCGAGCATTAGCCCTTCGTCAGAGTGATTGACGAAGGGCTAACGCTCGAAACGTCAGCTTTTTTACCCTTTACGATGACTAATTTACGTTTTCAACCCAGTTGTTAACACTAAATTACCTGCTATACTCTCCCACTGATGCAGCACCACAGTTTCTTTAGAAACTCACCCCTTTATATCCTTGAAGAAGCTTTGTATCAACCAAGCTAAATATTGCACAAATCATTATTGGAAGATTATGAGCATGATAACAAGAACTCTTAAGGCCAAGGTTTCACTTGTCACAGCTGAGATGAGGCAACAACTATAATTTGTAACTTCTGGTGCAAAAAACGAAAGGCAAGGTTAAAACATTATTGAAGATGTCTCTCTTGGGTCTCACAGTTTCTAGTTATAGGGGATGACTTAAAAGGACTAGTGAAAGTCAAAAGTAAAACAAAATGAGTTAATTCTTAATTGCTACATTCTCCATGCACTTTTTAATGATCAAATTATAGACCACAAAAGATTTAAAAACTGAAGCTACAAGAACAATTCTTCAAGTTTTTTGTGCCTGTATTCATATCATTTTTCTACTAAGTTTAGCTCTGGAAATTTCACTTACAATCTCCTTGATGCTTTGATATGCATCAATATGCAAGGAGCAATTTCCTCTATGTCACCCCTAATGATTCAAGCAGCAGTGAACTGCCCACTTGGTTGCCTGACATAAACTGAGCAAAATAACTAAATGCTGTTAAGCAATTTTTGGTAATCAAAAGAGCATGATTACTTGAACTTGATTGTTAATAGTTGCTTATTTTTGTAGATAAAATTATCCATTTGCAAAAACTGTTCCTTATGTTAAAGCCAATGAGTGATTTATGGAAGAACCTATAAAAAGCAGTGAGAATGAAACACAAAAAGAAATAGTGACAACTGGATCAACACCTTCTGAAAGAAGGTGCAAAGAAGAGGCAAATAAAGAAACCTACAAGCCACCAATAGTGCCAGAACTAAACATTCATATTTTCCTGGACATAAAGCTAGACAAAGAACTCCAGCACTTCAAAGTGTGACCTCAAATACAACACTTCCCACAGCTTTGGGCAAGGATCAGACAACTAAGTAAACAACTCTTTGGTTAAAAGTGGGGAGAGAATGATAGACAAGTAGTCCAACATCTTGATCAGGCCTGTAGCATTAAATATGCAAATCAGAGCCCACTGTAACTGAAAGATACGTAGAGAGACATGTAGAGAGATACGTAATAGAATCTATTTGTGTACAGACACCGGGCCAACATGGAAGCTAATTGTTTTATATGATAAATAAGTAAAATGCAGTTAATGGTGACGTCATCTATGCATCTGTTTTTCCAAAAGATTCCAAGTGAGAACCAATCATACAGCTTATCATGTAATAAACCTTAATCCATTCAAACGACGTCAGCTGACGTATTTCTTAGCCCTTTTTCAACTGAACTAGGCTCTCGACCCCCCTTTTTCGACACGAATTAGTGATTTGAAATGAGCTTCAAATGTATGTGTAAAGACATGCTCTTAATAGTCCGATCGCAGAATGGGTTTAATTAAAGAAAAACGAAATACTTCACGCGAGCAACACAAACCTGTATTGCAGAACCTTTAAATGCCCGTTACTTTTAGGAAAGGCCAGAAAGTTACGCTTCAGATATTCGTGAAGTGCAGTCTCATCGAATTTGTGCTCTAGGCGTACCTTTGTCACTTGTTCGGCCATGTTCGCCTCTCGTTTCCAGACTTCCACGGGGAGGAACATTTTCATCATGATAGTTGTCAGTCAGACAGGGACATGTCTCTGATGTCGTGTTGTGGGTCGGGTCCGTGATTTGTGGAAACTTTTATTTTTCGTGTCTCACTTTTGTTAACAAAAGTTTCCTTTGAATAGAGTGAGGAGAATGTAATCTGGTCCTTATTCACTTAATGACCTGCAAAATCGGACGACCGCGTTGATGCGAAAGTCAAATTACGTAAAAAAGTCCAACATGGAATGTACGGTACCGAGTCCCCTACTATCAGTTAAAATTTATTATAAATGAAGACATTTGATTTGAATTTTTTCCTCGAGAAAATAATTTTGAGAGAGGTGGGTCGCGATTTTTCAGCGGCACCCTCTCCAAGGAGGGGGTGGGGGTGGGGAAGAGGGCTTCAAAACCGCCTCAGGTTTTAGTTGGGTGTTTGACCTGATTATCTGTTGTTCTTCACTTTGAAAGACATAACGTAAAATGGCGTATCTCCAATGGTTTTGCTGACTGCAGGCATCCTTATCCTTGTAAAGAATAAGGATGAAATAGATGTGACTGTTTCACTTACTTACATGAGTAACCACGACAGAATTTCTCCTTACAATATCAATACAAACTCAAGAAGACAAGTGATGAGAACCGAGAAAAGTGTCAATTAGGGATTGTAAGTTTATCCAATACAAAATTCTCAGAAGTGACATCAGAAGAGTTGCACTGCAGACAGTAAGGAGAATTACTAATGAGATCTTGGGAGTTGAAGGGCTAAAGGGGGGTATAAAAGTTTGTCAAGGTGTTAGAGTGGTAACGGAAAAAATAGGGGTGATAATGATTTCCAATTACCATGATTTACAGGTTATTCTTATCTACATAAGTTGGTCCCCTTCCAAGTGCATACTGTCCAATTATCTAGGAATGAATTGTGATGAGTACAGCTTCACAATCTACCAACTCCTTTCTCCAACAAGCATGACTTTACACTGTCCCTTTGATTCAAGCTCACAACCAATCAAATTAGGGAATTCTGTTTTGTTATGGGTTTCTGTAGATTTCTTAATAATTTCTTTGATTCAACTGAGTTTCATCTCCAATGACACATTACTGGTTTTGGGCATCTCATATCAGAACTAGAACTTTGTTGCATGTACAATGAAATTGCAAATGAACACTTGGAGAAAAGGAAAGCAAAAGTAAGAATTTATTCTCTTCCATGGATTAATGGGGAAATAAGAAAACTTATGAATAAACAATTTAAACAACTCCGCAAAGCTCAAACTACAAATTCTCCTGTTGGCTGGAAGTTGTATAAAGATCTTAGAAACGAAGTACACAGGAAACTAAAGAAAGCTGAATCCATGTATTATCTTGAGGCTCTTGAGAACATAAGAAATGGAAGTACAGACTTTTGGAACTTAATTAAGAAAATTAATAAAAATGAAACAATCACTAAAAAAAACTGGCCCTATTAAGAATGAAGTAGGAACACTAATATTTGATGACACTGAGGCTAATACATTAACCCAATTCTTTTCCACAATTGGTGAAAACCATGCATCCAACCAAGAAGAAAATGTAAATCCTTTGTCTTATATCTGTAGAGTGACACCTGTAATAGATGTTGATTTTCCAGTAGAAGCCTTTTCAAGAAAGTTAAAATCAGTTAACCCCAAGAAAGCACATGGTGCTGACAGCTGGTCAGCAAAAGAAATAAAAATTGCTGGGATAATCTGGACAGACATAAGAAATGCAGAAAATATGAATTCTTTTAAATTAGCTCTAAAAAAGAAATCAAGATTGATGGAAAGTAATAGTTACATAAAGGGACAATGCAATAACTTAAATAGGAGAACTGAAGATTTGATATACTATTGAAAGGGATTACTTTTTTAAATTACTTACTTATTGGTTTCATATTTATATTTGATTATTTATCAATAATTATTCATTAGATGATCTATATTTTATACTTTATAAAAACTTTTAAGATTATGCTATTAGGTTCTCTTTTTTTTAAATATTTTAGCATGTAGTTAGGTCCACATCAGCAAAAGCTGCCCTTATCATGACTTAACTGAAATAAATTATGCATGTATGTATGTATGTATGTTGCAATCTTTGTTTATAATTAAATCATAGGAGTAGTCAAACTGAAACATCAAGATTACCCTCAAGTCACTTATAATAATTTTAAGGGAGCACACCCCTAGACTATACAATGCATGCAAACCATGCTTGTAGTCCAGGAATTAAGAGACAACTTAAGTATCAGCCTAATACTTTTGCAGGCTAAGTCAAGATTTTATCAGGTACAGACAAAAAATTTAATGCTACGCAGTCCACACAAAAACAGATAGCACTGAACATCTCCACAAGAGTTAAGATGGCATTTTGTCTTTTCACAAGTGTGGGACAAAGAAAAAATTCTGAGTTAGATTCCTTGTGGGGACTCAGCATTATGTCCTTGTCCCATGTGTAATAAGACGACTCACTTTAAAAAAAAAAAGTTCGCGGAAAATTACAATAGAGCACGAGGCTGTAACAGCTTGTGGCATACTTACACCATAAATTGCGAGGGTTTCTTTCAACTGGGTAAAATGAACCAAGCATTGAAATTGATTCCTGGGAATGTGTCAGCAGAAGAATATCTCCAGGGGCACTTGAATAATGCCTCTGCCATTCTCACATTGTTTTTAACCAAGTTCTCCACAAATATCCAATGTCGTTACCCTAAGTTTCATGAGGTAAATTCTCTTAACAAAATCAATAAAATGTTGGGCACAAAGGAGATGACACTAAAGAAAAATTTTAACTAAGGCAAATTCTTTGATTTGACAACTGATCATAAAAAATAACAAAACAAAATTGGTATTACCATCAAGATATTTTGGAGTGAAAGGGTCAAAATCTAACTCAAGCAAAATTGTATAAAAAAAAGAGAGAAAGAGATAAAGCATGACCCACTGAACCAAGAAAAAACACCTTCAGTACAAACTGACTATAAGAAAAAACCACATTTGTATCAAAATCTCAAAAACTCACATCTCACAGTAAGAATACTTATACATGCCTCCTAAACATCCCAAAACCTAAGACAATTCACAGTTTTCTCTTAAAATCCTGTTAACTACCACCTTGCATCTAAAGAGAACCTGATTTAAAACAACTACCACAGATTTAATAGTAACATCTTAAATGTTCTCATCCTTAAACCTTTGGTATGTAGCCTTCAAAATGGAAGACATTTTTTCAAAAATGTTGGGGAAAAGTATACCAAATAATTTAATAAAGGAGTTCCTTAGAGGACAGTTGTGGAATTACAGAATCAGACCATGCTTGGGAAACTCAGTCAATTTAATTCAAATACAAACTACTTTTCAAAATTCATGCTTGACTGAAAATGGTTCATTTAAGACAAATAACACAAAAAATTGGTCATCCCTGGAAATGTTTGTACAAGAACTAATACAATTAAGAGGTTGATATGAGCTAAGCCTCAAATACCAGTTTGTCCACATATTTCTGGTTACACCTAGTAATTTAAATGTCTTTCAATAACTGTTTGGTAACTTTAATGGCATACTTCTTGTCAAATACACATAGAGCAAACATTGTCCTCTATACCTTTGTCTTTATCAATAAAATAATGAACATAAAACTTCAAAATCAGTTAACCTACAGAAGTCCTTGGATTTAATGAGTTAAGTAAGTGGCCTTAAATAGAAAACACATCAGCCACGCTCTAAAATGCAGCTATACCCTAATAATGCGATCAAATGTGTTGACAGTGTCCAGCAGTTCCCAGCTGACATAAATCAAACCAACACATTCTTATTCATATCAAACAAACTTAAGCATCCAAAAAGGGTGAAAACCATAGTAAATTGCTTTTGTGTAATCTGGAATAGCATTAAATCTGTTTGCTCCTTTTCTAGAAACTTCATCCCAGTTATGACAACTGCAGTTCACATAAACAGCTTCGTATCTGATCTGAAGAGGATAAGCAGATGAAACGTGAGCTTCAAGAATGTGCAGTAGTTTTCAATTCCGACGGAAACAAAAAATGACACAATCGTTTCGAAGCAACTTCACAGAAAAACGCAAAATTTAGGACGATCATTCTTATCTATAACACGAATTTAAAGGAAGGAGGTGCAAGTCGGCTATTTAAAGAACAATTCCAATATAAGGGCTTAAGTGCGTTACAACTTGTATAATTCTAAATCGCTAATGACACAAGTCAACAAAACGCAAACCATGCTCGTTTGCTCAAACGAAGCTCAGCCAGGCGCGGTAAAAAGTTAACCATTTCCATGAGCCAATTGGTGTTGCTCAACAACAACCGGTATAGAGCACCACATAGGCAGTAAACACTAGCAAGCTTATTTTTCGATCACGCGATCTGATATGCAGTATAGCCACGCGCTTTCGGCAAGTTCCATAAAGGAGTTCTTTCTCATGGTGGCGTAAATTGACCTTACGAGCAAGTACATAGATTTTACACGTTTCTTGCTTACAGATATAAGACTTTCACGATAAAAACTTTCCAAGTTACAATCACACGAGCGTATTCGCTCCTCGCCCGAACAGATTGTGCGCTACTGAACGATAAAACCTTCTCCAGGCGTTAATGGTCTTACTCGACCATATCCAAAATCCTGATGTAATTCCAACGATCAAGAACATCAAGTACTTGACCATAAATACGGTGAAATCCGGTTTGTCATTAACAATCGGGTATTTGGGACAATCCATGTCTTTCATGTTATCAATGCACGCTTGTTGATGCTTCCAGCCTTCAAGCCATGATTGCTCCCACTTTTCACGATTTGCCTGCTCATAGAACAAACAACCTATTACTGAAATCGCGGGCAAAGTGTACAGAATGGAAAATACTCCGATACGAATCATTAATTTTTCGATTTTCTCCCTCTTGCTGTAATCGTCTTTTAAAACTGATCTCACTCGAAACAGCGACACAAATCCGGCTAACAGGAATGTAGCTCCAGCAAAAAAGTAAATGAACAGGGGAGCCAACACATATACCCTCAGCGCATTTAAATCTGAGAGTCCAACAAAGCAAACTCCGCTTAGCTCGTCGCCATCAACTTTGGTCATCAATAAAATCGCAATTGTTTTAACGGCAGGAATCGCCCAGGCTGCAAGGTGGAAAAATTGTGCGTTTGCCTCGATAGCTTCTTGACCCCATTTTAGTCCGGCCGCAAGAAACCAAGTGAGTGTTAGAATAACCCACCAGATTGAGGATGCCATGCTGAAGAAATATAATAGCATAAAAATTACTGTGCATCCTTCGTGTTTAGTTCCTTGCACAAGGACGGAATGACCATGTTTAGATTCCGTGCAAGATAAAGAGTCCCCAGCAGTGAATCCAATGATGTAGGAAACAGAAATCATGAAGTAACAACCCGATAGAAAAATAATAGGTCTTTCAGGGTACCGAAATCTCCTCATGTCAATAATAAACGTTAAAATTGTAAAGAGAGTTGATATGCAACAGAGAATCGCCCATATTCCAGTCCAAAGGCGGGCAATTTTTCGCTCCTTCTCATCAAAATAGATGTTTTCGCACTTTGATGCACAGTTCTTCTTGCCAAAGAACATGTAGTGATCGTTATCAATTTTTTGCTCCTCCGGACATCGGAATGACACCAAACTAATGTCGATCGGAGCCTCCGTCGAGTTGTGTCCTTGTGGTTGTTCCTTAGAAGGCACTACTTGACCGTTTCTACCAGTTGTGTTCTTTCCAACACAGAGATCCTCGCCTAGTTTTGGAAACTTCTCGCAACGCAAAGACTCGGGCCACGTGAAACCAAATTTCTTCATAAGATCTTCGCATCCATCTCGCGCACTGTCACAAAGTGAACGGCATGGTGGAACTGGAATACCGAGAAGAGTGCAAATGGGGGCATAAACCGAACATAAGAAGAAGGCCAGATCCTCCGAACAGCCGACTTTCACCAGTGGGAAAAACTGATGAACTTCGAGAGCTGCTTCCTCTTGTGTTCTGTGCTTTAACATGTTTGGAAATATTGTAGTGTTGTACGGTAAACCAATGCAAAGAGGTATCGTCACAGACTCACACTTCTTTTGGCACAAGCAAGGCAATAAACAAACCCCAAAGATCACGACGGGGAGCAGCAATCGTTCAAAACGCGTACCGTAAGCGTCTCCGACCATGTTGAACAGAACAGTTGTACTAACGCAATTCAATCTCCTCTTTGAAGCTGACCAAGACTACGCTCTTAGTTAATGACATAGTACGCTTTCCTGAAAAGAATTGTCAACGAAATTAGCATGCTTTGGCTGTCGAGAATGTGATTGGCTGGCGGTAACAGAAGGAGACAATCAAAATACCAAACAGGATCCGATTGGCTTAAATAATATGATCCAACTAATTACGAGTCAAACAAAACGTCTCTACGTAAAGGCCACCGGATGTTCAATCACTCCCAATGAATATCTTTAAAAGCTTTACGGTGTACTTTTCACAAATATAATTTACTTGCAGAGGCATTTCACTTTTCACTCAGATATCATCAAACATTTTATCAAAGGTACTTTGCAAAAAACAATACGACAAAAACAAAGAATTCTCATTTCTTTCTGAAACGAGGTATTTTGAATCAAATATTCATCAAGAAACCCCTTGCTGTTTTCTTATTATTTACTTTTCAATAAGGCATCTGGAATTCGTTTCTTACTGACGCCTATCGGTCACGAAATTAGAAACCGGCGACATTAAACTCTGCAGGGAGTAAATTGCTTTCAGCAGAGTATTTCAGTTTACACTTGACAAGTCCCTTGTCTAGAGTAAACAAAGCTCTTATATGGTTTTAACCACGATACAAGATTCTTTATACTGAGATAACCTAACATCAGATAACCGGTTCGATTCCAGTGGAAAGTTTTGCTGTTTTTGAGAGTACATTTCCTGAGGGTTGGGCGTTCTTCGCATTTTTTTACCGTACCGCACTTTTGGCGCTTTCTTTACGCTCTTTGTTCTTCGGTCATTTTCTATTGAATCTATTTTTTTTACAGTCAGGAAGAATATGTTTATCTATCTCCGGTATATTGATGGCAGCGAAATGAATTTTGAATTCAGTTTCGTAAACAAAGTACGGCAAGAAGTTAAGGCATGAGTGTTCATGATCTTCATGACTTCTTCCAGACTGCAGGCAACGCAATAAACTACTCTGACTACTGGTAACAAACCTAACACTCAACTAAACACCACCTTCCGATAAACACCGCACTAAATTAAAGGAATGTGACGTTTACTCGAGGAGCAAATCGAACATAAAGTACAGAATTACTCGGTAATCTACACCGTCAGATCCCACCGTCCTTGGACATTCATATCATTCATATCGAGACAGTAAATCTTCAAAAGAAAGTTTGTATGTCACCTAATTTTCAAATGAGTTACAGTATATTGTGCTACTTAAATAACGCTGACCTCGAATTCACTTCAGACACATCAGATAAATTCATGTTGCTTGTGAAACGATCTCAATGTCCGCTTCGAGCTTAATCCTCATAAAACGGGCTCAACGTGTTGCTGTCAAGCTCGATATACGCGCCAGTTGACTAAACACTGCGTCGAAAATGCTCAATAATATCTAATAAACACTGCGGCTTTTAATAAGTTGAAAGACGCACAGGAAATGTGTGCTGTTCATCAGCCGGGAGGTTTGTATTGGGAAAAACTTAACCCGAGGTCTTGGATACCTCTTAAGGCCTCCACTTTGGTTAACTATCATCAACTATCATGACCAAGAATTGTTTTGAGGAATTGAAAGAGTCTTTGAATGAAAGTCACATCGATACGGATTGAATTGTAAAAAATAAAAAGCCTCACGTTTTTACTTCTTGAGTGTACTTGGCTTTTGGACCGCATGTCAACAGAATCATTGACGCTCTTGCCTTCTCAAAATTCATTTCGAAACCAATATTTTGCAGGTAGCCGGAGTGATTTGTGTGAGCAAGGAAAGAATTGATAAGTTATTCATCACCTTAACATTGTAACTTAAGTCTTTCCTTCAAGAAGGCTGCCCAGTGGGCAAAACAACGTATATCTATGAAAACCAAAAACTCACAAAACCTCACGAAAGCGTTACCGTGTCCATGTGCAGAGATAGGAAAGTCCGGACCGCGCTAAGAATCAATCAGGTTGATTAGCGTACCCTTTTGGAAAAAAATAAACATTCGTATTAAAAATCCATCAAGTATTACGACTCTGCTCGCCTCTGGTAACATATACTGTATTTCATCGGTTAAGCGATTGAATTTCGGCTAAAAGGAGGGGCGGCGCTTAATCAAGAGCACGCTCTCAATTCTTGTGACATACATAAAAGAAAAACAATACATGGATCCTGTTCGGCTCATGGATGATGTAGTCATTCCATGAGATGTAGGGGGAAAGTCGGGCGGCATTATGGCACTCACTCACCAGTAGGAAAATCGACTCTTATTAATTTATTCATTAAAAATTGGATTAAACATTGAAATCCTACCTCCCCCTGCTAAATAATGGTTTTGTTCCAAATGTCTGCCAAGCTTTAGAAGGGACGAGAAAGGCGTAGATTTTTCCCAATAACGGTATAAACTTCATGGATGAACGCCATATAAACGACAAAATAGCGGAATGAAATCTATAGACGACCTATGGGTGCGGCTTACTTGACGCGCTTTCCTTACTTAGGGCACTTTCCTTACTTAAAGCGCTTTAGTTACACGCGGTGCTTTACTCTCAAGTGAGATAAGCACCTGAGGTAAGTAAGGCATCTCGAGTAAGTAAAGCACGGGAAGTAAGGAAAGCACCTCAAGTAAGGAAAGCACCTCAAGTAAGTGAAGCATCTCAAGTAAGTGAAGCACCTGAAGTAAGTAAAGCATCTTAAGTAAGTAAAGCACCTTAAGGAAGGAAGAACCTTAAGTAAGTTAGCAACTCAAGTAAGCCTAAACAAAAAGTCGTCTATATAATAATATACCATTCCGCCATTTTTTCGTCTATAAATGGCATTCAGCCATGAAGTATATAAGCGGCACGAAAATGGTCTGTGTTTGAACTCCTTTGTGGAGTAGAACACTGAAATGTTGTTAAGCCAGAAACGCTGACGGCGAAAATGGACATCGAAATCCTAAACGCTGCTAAACGGGACGATGCTCAAAGTGACACCGTAAAAGCTTCGATGGTTTAAAGACCTTTAAGCCGACGATATCAATCGACTGCGGACTATTTGTTCAATAGATTTTGCACGATTACCTGGAGTGAAGCTGCACGAAGATGGCCTTTTTTTTCCTTTCCATAAAATCCTCTAACATTCCAAATAACTTTCAATACGCCGAATATACCAATTCCCAATTTTTTTCATTCAACTGCCTTTTCTTTCGCTTATCCAATTCCGTTCCATGAGCGGCCCCACGGGAGCCTTTGATGCAATAAATGGATGTTCTTGTTTTTACTTGACAGATACTACACGGTTGGAGATGTCAAGGAAAGACCTTCTTCTGGGATACGATGACTATGAAGGAAACTTCTTTGCAGCGTGGCTATGAAAGTCAACGTGACGTAAATTACTCGCGCCTGTCTCCTGTTGAGATGCAAAAATAGCTTTACTCTCGTGGAAATTGTCCTTGCCACACCTTGCCAAATCCATATACAACTTTACTTCTTGCCTCTATCTCTTCTAACTGTTGGCTAAAGTTGACGATTCGAAGTCCAGGTGAGCTGGGGGTTTGAGCCGTATTATTCCAGCAGACCTTATCCAATGATGACCTTGTTTAAACTTATTTTAGCGTGCGATCCTACGCTGCGGCTATATTGAAAACTACAGCTGATTGGATTGTGGTACCTCATCCTCTCGTGTGCAAACGTAATGAAATATACCATTAACCCTTTAACTCCCATGAGTGACCAAGGCAGAATTTCTCCTTACAATATCAATACAATGTCAAGAAGACAGGTGATAAGAATAAAAAGAAATATCAGTTGAGCAATTGTTAGTTGATTCAAAACCGAATTCTCAAAACTAACATCATGAGAACTGTATAGCAGACAGCAAGGAGAGTTACTTTTGAGATTTAGGGGTGAAAGGGTTAAAAGTGAAAATTTTAAGTTATTAAAAAGAATGTTTTGTCTGCCAAAAATTGGAAAAAAATATGTGTTGGGGTAAGATTTACTTTCTTTTTGACTTATAGTACCTGTCTGTTAAAAAAAAGCAAAGAAACAATAACGGCTTCACAAGGTCGGAGGTAAACCGTTTGTTCGAGTTTAACTTGAAATCCGTCCTCTCTAGTGATTCTTGATGGTCACGAATAAAGCAGATACTGAGATTATGAATTCGCGCTCGAACTATATTTCTTAAAAGTTCTGAAATTTGCTGAACATCATCTTAACGTAAGCGATAAATTTACATGCACGCTAATGAATAAGATCAAGAGAATCTATTATCTCTCGGTAAGATAGATACAGGAAAACACGTGGGTGCTTAGTTTGAGATGTGAAGCATTTCCGCAATCTCGTTCGTGCTCTAAGTTTGCTATGGGCAGGACGAGAAGAATCAGGCCCGAAAAGTTCTGCTAATCTTGAATATATCATTGAGAAATAAGGAGTTATTGGAAACCAACAATAGATTATCGTTAGTGGTCTCCAAATTACGCTCCACTTCATTTCGTTAGAGAAAGACTGAATAGACCTCAAAATCACTTTTCCTTCTCACTAGAAGATATAAAATCTTAACATTAATCACCAGTCAAAGAATAAATATTGTCAACCGTCAACCGTCAACCGTCAAAGTCCTCAAAGACTGATCGTTAACCGTCAAAATAATAACGAATAAACCGTCAGAGCTACTCCCCCATTAAGACCCTGCTATCAGCCGACGCTGTGTTTACTGCCATGCATGCTACTAGGCTGTCGTGCTAGCACCTCTTCCTCTGTGGAAATCTTAGCTTGGGTTGGTTGGGATCCTGAAAACATGCACGACAAAGGTAGGCTAGTTTTAAACAGTTGCAGTAGTTGAAGTAGTTTGTACATTCTCTTCTCTGTTAGAGCCTATGCACTCAACCAGCACATGTCTCACTGATATCACTATTAAGCCTCTCCATACCATGGACAAAGGCCGGTTCATTGAATGGTATTTTTAGATCTGTCTAAAGCATTTGACACTATAAATCATGACATTATGCTGCATAAGTTGCTTTCCCTCGGTTCTTCTGATTCTGCGGTTGTATGGTTCAAGTCTTATCTGTCAAACCGGACTCAAAGCATTTGTGTTAATGGTGTTCTTTCTGAACCCCAGTCGATACAGTTTGGTGTCCCACAGGGCTCATTACTCGGTTTATTACTTTTTATCATTTATATTAATGACTTCCCATCCATTGTCCATTGCTATCAAATTCAACTTTTTGCGGATGCACTCTGCTTTTCTATAGTAGTAGTTCCAAGGAAGAAGTCGAGTCTTACCTGTCTGCTGATCTAAGCAACATCATAAGCTGGGTAGATAGTAACTACCTGTTCCTTAACTACTCTAAAACTAAAGTAATACTTGTGGGAACAGATCAAAGGCTCTCAATAGTTGCAAATTTTAATGTTTCAGCGTTCGACAAGACCTTTAGCAGGGTCTCTCGGAGTTATGCTCGATCCAGCCCTCTCTTGGAGTGATCACATCGACCATATTGCTTCCAAAATATCTGCTAGGCTCGGAATGCTGCGGAAAGCTGACAAAATAATTCCTCCAGAGGCCTATATCGCACCCTATGACTCCATGATACTTCCTGTGTGCGACTACAGCTGTGTAGCCTGGGATGGCTGTGGAAAGACAAATCAGGACCACCTAAACAACTGCGAGCAGCTCGTATTATCAAAGGGCGTAAAGAAGAAAATGCAGAAAAATTGTAGGCAATATCACACTTGCCTCCAAGTGCTTAAATACCAACAAGGTCTCGCGCCAGCCCATCTTTTAAATTAATTTAGTTCTTCCTCGCAAATATAATGTCTACAATACCACATATAGAGACCTTTTGCGATTACCCCAGGCTAATATCTTGATATCTTAATATCAAGGTTCCTTTCGCAATAAAGGTGCAAGGACGTGGAATTCTCTAACTAGTAAACTGGGAAACATTACTTCATTGCCTAATTTAGAAACATTCCTCAAACTTTAATTATGTAATTGATGTAATATACTTTATAAGGTAACGGATATCGTATATCTTAAGTGTGAATTGTAATTTGCGTTGTGAGCTCCTTTTGTATTTTATATTTCTAAATACATTTTGTTTTACTCAGTATGTCCTAAGCAGGCCCTCATTCAACCATCTTAAAGCTGAACTGGGCCAGCCTGCTTATATATCACTAATCAATAGATAAATAAATATATAATCCAAATCCCCATGGAACAAGTCTCCACCATGAAATCCCTCAGTGTAATATTGGTTCATTTTAAAGAAATTTCTAAAAAGATTCCATCGGCTTAAGCGCCATCAAATGCAAAAGGAATATTGTAGTGTGGGGATGC